GTCGCTTGTCCTTCCTATTCTGTTGTCTTCTTCCACTTCCATGCATTGCTTGTTTAAAAATAGTTCCTTATCCCTTCTGGCTAACCTCTGGAATTGTGCATTTAATTGGGCATATCTCCCCCTATCACTGTTTCCTTTTGCTTTCCTCCTTTCTTGGGCTACTTCCAGTGTCTCAGCAGACAACCAGTTTGCCTTCTTGGTTTTCTTTTTCTTTGGGACGTACTTTGTTGTCGTCTCCTGAACAATATCGCAGACTTCTGTCCATAGTTCTTCTGGGGCTCTATTTACTAAATCTAGTCCTTTAAATCTGTTGTTCACTTCCACTGCATATTCACTAGAAATGTTAATGAGATCATATCTAACTGGTCTGTGTGTTTTCCCTGATCTCTTTAGTTTGATTCTAAATTGAGCAATAAGACGTTCGTGATCTGAACTAGTCAGCCCCAAGTCTTGTTTTCACTGACTAGATGGATGTTTACTATCTTTGACTGCAAAGTAATTGATCTGATTTTGGTGTTAACCATCTGGTGAAGTTCATGTATAAAGCCATATTTTAGGTTGTTGGAAGAGAGCGTTTGTTGTACACAGTGAGTTTTCCTGGCAAAATTCTATCAGCCTGTGTCCTGATTCATTTTGTTCTCCCAGACCATGCTTGCCTGTGATCCCAGTTGTCATTTGACTTCCCACCTTGGCATTCCAGTCTCCTGTAATGAAAATAATGTCTCTTTTTGGTGTATTATCCAGTAGGTGCTGCAGATCCTCATAGAACTGATCAATTTCTGCTTCTTCAGCAGCTGTGGTTGGAGCGTATATTTGGATCACTGTAATGTTGAAAGGCTTTCCTTGCACTCAAATTGAGAGCATTCTATCATTTTTTGGGTTGTATCCAAGCACTGCTTTAGCGACTTTCTTATTCATTATGAAGGCTACTCCATTTCTTCAGTGTTCCTCTTGTCTGCAGTAGTAGATCTGGTGGTCATCTGATGTGAAGTGGCCCATTTCAGTCCATTTCAGTTCGCTGAAATGTTTTACTTTAGTTCAGCATAATATTGAAATCTTAAATTGTATTTTTTCTTTAGTATGGTACACAGAAAATGAGCCAATAAGTGCGGTTGGAATCATAAGTCCAGATCTCCCTTCAGCCATAGCAATTCACTATATGACCTTGAACAAGTCATGCTCATCCTTAGAAGATTGTCAAGCCTGCTTTTGCCATAAATCTTTTCAAGTAAGAAAGGGTTCCCATAAATTGAGTTGACTTGAAGGTGAATAGAAACAACAGTTGGTGGAAACAAGTCAGTTTGAAGTTTCCTTCTTTCAACTTATGGTAGATAAGATCGTAGCCATAATCTGCGTTCTACACATGACTTCACTGAATGTGGCTTATCTGAAATGGAAATAAAAGCTTCCAAACATGTCCTTTCAGCTGAGTGAATGGGGTGAAACATGTTGCTGTTTCTCCTATTGCCACATTCACACCAGCCTAGTGTTCGTTACATTTCATGAAGGAGCACAGCACAACTTGTTCATTGCTACTGAGGAGAACAAGTCCCTTGGTAGAGTTAGTTTTAATTAGATTTATTACTGTGTATTCTCTCAGTGCAATTTTAATTCCTTTGCCCCAGGTAGATCTCACTTTCCCTTAGAAACGTAATTCATTTCTGTAACCATTTGTTCTACAACACAATAAACACAGTGCACAATGGAAACTCACATTCTTGACATGAATTCTTCTCAAGTGAATCTACATCAGAGCAAAAGATCACTGAAAATGGATTTTCCCAGGCAGGAACCAGCCAGACATTAAAGCTGTGAGGCCATTAAATGCTAATCAAGGTGGCCATTTGCAACATTCACACTTGCCTCAAACAGGCAATAGTTCTTTCTCCTACCCTGGACATTCCACAGATATAGAAACCTCACTTGCCTAATTTCCAACAGACCTCACAATCTCTGAGGATGCCTGCCATAGATGTGGGCGAAACGTCAGGAGAGAATGCTTCTGGAACATGGCCATATAGCCCGGAAAACTCACAGCAACCCAGTGATTACGGCCACAAAAGCCTTCTACATCACTGAGATTGTTTACCTGTCTTGTACATACATCCCACCGGGGATTTAAATTGATCACCCCCATTATATGTATTGGGAAATGTGAAATAAGACTATTAAAGTATTTTCTGTGTCAGCCCATTTTGCCATTCCTTTGAGTTTGTCACAAGCTGAGACCCAGCAGGTTTGTCACAAGTTGAGGTCCAGAATTATCTGTGTATGCAAAACAACTATCCTGAAGTAGTTGAATTATTTGGTCCAAGTCACAAACATCATATTTTTATATGTTATTTCATATGTAATTTTCTTTCTTGTTAAGAGGCAACTTAATGTCATTATGAGTTTTATCTTTTTTGAAAAACAAATACAATATTCTCATATATTTTATCATTTTGAAATATAAGTTACCTCATTCAGGTAATAAAATTATGTTTTGATATCAGGTCATGACTGCCATTATATAAGACTTCAAGTCATATGGTAACTGATAAAATCATCAGCACACTCTGAGCTCAGGACAAAGGGCAAAAAAGAAAAATAGTGTTACCATCATATTCTTGTATGAATTTTTGTAATACCCTTGCTGCATATACTCATGTATAAGACTAGAAACTTTAGTCAAAAAGTGACCCTAAAAACCTTGGGTGACCTAGCCACAGGTCAATGTAATGTAATTACTGTAATGTAAGTACTCTCCTCACCATTTATTTTTTATTTTTTGTTTTGTAATACCTCGATGGGAAAATGGTGAAGATGACTCTTTGTTCCCCTCAAAAGAATACTGAAATATTAGATGAGATTAGTGCTTCTTTTAGGTTCTCCAGGGATGGACTAATCTCTGGACCTCACTCTACTCGAAATAAGAAGATATTTCTTTATTGGAGTTAATATTTCAAAAATGAACCATCCCTTTCTCTTAGTAGAATGGCAAAAGTCCATTTTGAATGTCTGGGCATGAAAATGACAGTACCAGTACCCCTGGGGTAGCACTGGTACTTTCCCCTCTCCTTAGAATGATTCAAGACTTAGTCACAGGTTATATCAAAATCCATAATTTTGACCCCAATATACATTATGGTGTATATAGTATTTAAATATGTGATGTTGTTTTGATTTTTTATTTATATTAATGAGATTTGGAGGTATGCAATTACACTGGAGTGTCTAAATGCCCAGAATATAAAATGTTTGTTTGTAGACTTTTATGTATTCTCATTTAGCTAATATGATGAGTACTATTTATTTATCATGTCAGAAGCAAATTGAGAGTACAATTCTAATATATTTCAAAATACAAAGTTTAAAACTTGGCATTATACTAAATGTGCTTTGACCAGAAGCTGCCCCTGGTGTCATTGTAAGAATGTCCTCCATCATACATGTGACAAGGTTCAGGCTGCATCGTACTAAATTGTCTGTGGTTTACTCTTCTCCACACTCGCATGTCATGGACTCCACTTTGTAGCCACATTTCTGAATATTGTCTCTGCACCTTGTGGTGCCAGAGCACGGTCTATTCAGCATCTTCTAATTCCCTCAGTCTTATGTGTGCCTAAGGAGAATATCTCATCAGGTATCAGTGATAGATTAATGCTCTGGGTTTTCACCTGCCACTTTTGGACTCTTGCTTGCTGATGTGTTCCTGCCAGTATCTCTGTAGATCGTAGGAAGCTATTTCTTGATTTAAGGTATTGGCTTACTGAGAATTGAGGAAGTATTATCCATTGGATCCTTATTATCCAAAACTGGTTGCATTTTCAGGATATGCTCCTAGGAAGAGCAGCATAATCCCACCCCACCCCCCCACCCCGAGATTTAGGAACAGATTTAGGCTTAGTGTTAGACCTAGTACTCTACATACAGATTTACAACCTTGCATGGCGGTGCAATGGGTTAAACCCTTGTGCCAGCTGAATTGCTGACCAGAAGGTCAGCAGCTCGAATCTGGGGAGCAGATCAGCTCCAGCTTCTCATGCGGGGGCATGAGAGAAGCCTCCCACAGGATGGTAAAACACCTGGCCATCCCCTGAGCAACATAATTGCAGACAGCCTATTCTCTCACACCAGAAGCTATTTTGCAGTTTTTCAAGTTGCTCCTGACATGAAGAAAATAGGGGAGGGGCTGGGAAAGATTTTAATCCTTGTAGTGCTACCACAGATTGACATATATCATGGATACTTATTGAACTAAGGATCTGACTCCATATAAGATAGCTTCCTATGATGTGGGATATTTTTGTTCCCCTTTGTTGTGCTTGATGCACACTGTCTTTTCTAATGCACTTCTACACATTTGCAAAATGCGTCTTGTGGATTTTCATTTCTGGCTGATTAGAATGCAGTAGCTAAAATCTGCAAACAATAGAGCTCGAGTTCAAGCAAAACTGCTTTGGTAATAACATTAATATTGCCATATTTTGAGGGTGAAGTGAACCATGGTAAGTGCCTACTGGGAGCAGGCCTTCTTTGTGGTGACACTCCAGTTGAAAAATATTCCCAGAAGTTTTTGACACATTCTTTGTGACTGATCCTGTAACTTTCAAGCCCTTTAAGGTTCTGAGTTGAATTTTAATCCACTGTTTTATCTGTCATTATTTGAGTGGTGTTACAAAATCTGTTTTGTGAATATTGTATCATCATTGTCGTCATCATTGTCTACCCTGAGAATTACTGCATATTATGGACTATATAAATATCATTAAACATCTTAATTCGCTAAATAGATCTTCCCATGGAGAGGTTGAGCAAAACAAAGATGTCTTGTGACACTTTAAAGGCAACATATTTAATGTGATACAAGATTTCATGGACTGAGGCCACAAAAAAAAGTTAGATCCTTAAGGTGCCATAAGATTGTTTTTATTTTTTTAATGAACAAAAGTAAAAAAAATTCAAAAGAAAGAACATGTGCTGAAGATTAACATATCTTTTTTTCCTGTACTGTTCAGGAGAAGAAACTAATGGACCTTTATTTGAAAATATATCAAGCACAGATTCAGAACTTCCTGGAAACTCTGAGGTAAGAACTTACTGCAGTTATAATTTATGTACAAAAATGTGGTTTTAAAACTAAACTAAATTGAAATAACACTGTGAAAAATATTGCAGAGCTCTCAGAGGAGGCATATCAATGTTTAGAAATTTGATTAATTGTGTATCATCAAAAAACTTCAGTTGTATAAGTTTCTGAAAATGGTTTCAGTGTTTAAAAAAACCCTGTTGAAATATCAGTTTGTAAATAAATGTAGTACCCTTTCTTCCATTAATGGTGATGTGACAAAACAATGACTTTCTCACCCTATGAGTAAAATAATGTTTAGTGTTTTGCAAATTTGCAAAAGTAGGACAATTGATCAATTATAAGCATCAACTCTAGGTAGTTGCTTTTTCTCCTGTTTAATTTTTTTGTGTTTTTGTATTTTAGTCTTTTGTAGTGTTGTTATTTGTAACTGTAAATTTATTATGTAGCTTTCACCATATATTTTATATTATTAAATTTTTATTAATATAAAATCATTTAAATATTATTTAATAATAGCAGAAAGTTGGTGCTCCTCTACTATTTTAGATATTTACAGAGCTGTCTTAAATTGGGATGGTGGATGTAAGCAATGAATTTGATCTCTGACCTCATCAACAACCCTGATGACTGGTGCCAGCCAATGTGGAAAATTATTGGACAGGACAGCTTTTGTTTTTGTGAGTTTTTTAAAAAACAAACACACAAAAATACTCTTCTCAGTCATAAGAAAGGAAATGTACCTATGCCAACCTGGCATAAGTGAAGGGCCTATACTGGGTTCTCTCCTGTGAGATAGTGTTACTTTGAAACATTCAAAGCTGATTCTGATCTGTCAGTGGAATGTCCTTTTATGGGATGGGCATCGCTGTGTTATCACTGATGACAGAAATGCTACAGTATTTTGCCACCTGTGCATGCACAAGTGGTGGGTTTTTGCTTGGCAGAGCATACCCACATCTATACTAGTGACAATCCTCTTTCAGATAGCCAATTTGGGAGATAATCTAAGCCCACTTTGGTCATCAGCTGTTGGGAAGGCAGTTGATGACTCTAGTGGTCTCTTTCAGCTCTGTGATTCTGGGTTTGCTGTACAGCCTTTATTAAATTGAATTTTAAGCTATAAGAAATGTCTCTGAAGGCATTACAATGTCTTCACGTTACTTTACATTAAAATAAGCCTCCATGTAATGGCAGTTTGAATGGGCCCATAATTACATGATTTTAAAAGTGGTGTGGAAATTACTGGGAAAGATTTCAAGATATAGTATCATGTACTCTGGACAATTTCTTTGTCCAAGTTTAACTGCATATGCAGTTGTGGAATTTTTAATCATATATAAGGGAGTGAATTATGGGAAGGCCTGGATTTTTCAGCATTAATTAGAATGTCTCTCAGGCACACTGTCTTATATGGCCTTTTCAATAAGAGTACAGGAGCTTAAAATAACAGCTGTACTTTCCATTACCTCAAAGTAGAAGTGGTTTTTATATGTATCATCACTTATGTTTATGAGTAGAAAAAGATGGAAAGAACTCCGGATGAGGAAATTCTCAAATCAATTATAGTATTCTCAAAGAAAACCAGAAGACAGGAGAAGTGGGTTACAGAGCATTGGCCTTTTGCAAAAGACAGAAATGGATCTTGGGAAACATTACACCCTTAATTCAGTGCCCATTTGGATACATATCAAATTCAATTCATGCACGAAGGTCTTAGTCTAGTAAGTGATACATACACAGAAGCCTGGTTACATGTGAATAAAAAATGCCATCCATTCAATGTCATCTTTGTAGTCTCATGGGATGAGATCATACAGCCATTGTTGATTTAAATTCCCATCACATTTTTCATCTCTTTTCATTGGATTTGCTGAAAACAATAGAAGATAAATTTAGCTTCCATTTCTGTTAATTACGTTGAAATTATACGTCTTCTAAGAAACTTTTTGCTGATCAGCCAAGTTCAGGCACAGAGATTGGATTGAAAATGGAGCTACTTTATTTAATTCTAAGCCTGTTTAACATTTAATCCTTGGGAGCTGCAAAAAAAGTAGTCAGCAACCTTATGTGAGAGCAACTGAGGCAGGTGATCTCACTTTAATTTCTTCCCCAACTCCCCTGGATAAAATACCAAAGAGGCCCTAAAGGCTGGGTTGCTCCCCTGATGATCTACAACTACAAAGCCAAGCCATGAATCCCGCTGCCAAGTGGTATGACTTTAAAGTGAGGGTCCAAACCTCAGGCCAACCTCAAAGAAAGTCTCCTTCTTCAACCCCCTAGATACATGATGTAAGAGATAGTTCCAGAGCCCCAAAGGGTGCCATAGATATTCACTGAATTCCTGCTTCTCTCTCTTTCCACTATGTGCCATGGATAAGACATATTTATTTACTTGGCTCCTGTACTCCAGCATGCTGACGAAAAGGACTCTCAATCCCTGTTGCAACTCTCTCAGAAGTAATGTATAACCTGCACCTGACATGTAAACCTGAGTGGCTATGCAAAGCTCAGACTTCTAGAAAATAATGTGCAGATATGGCATAAAATATCCCAATCACATTAAGACATTCTGAATAATCTCTATCAGTGCACTGAGAGTTTCCCCTTCACCCCTGCCATAACTGCCAGGGCAAAATAGCATTCCATATTATAGTAACACCACATGAGTTGTGCTGCATGGTCCTTAAACAAAAATGGCTTGTAAAATCAGTGCTTGCCCTTCAACAAACCCAGGTCATTATGCCTAGGTGAATGACAAAAACATGTAGTGGAGGGTTCTGGACTGCTTAGACAACATTGGCATGACAACATGCCACTGAAGGCTCTTCTTTACTAGCCATGGCCAGATCACTGTGGCAATTGCAGACCTGATGCTTTGCCAGATCAGAACTAATATTTAGTCAAGGGCAACAAATTATCATGGCAAAACAAAGGGCTGCTATTTCAAGACTTGAACATGTCCCTTAAGATGCACACTGGCTGATTTGCAGTAACACGGGACAAGACCACCTTAATACAGCCTTGCCCTGTGTTACCAAAAGCCAGTAGAAAGTATAAATTCTGTGCCAGCATAGTGTCAAATGAATCCTACACTTGCCCAGCACAGAACAGGATGGTAGAAGCATTCTGCTTTGAAAATCACAGAATAGAGCAACAACAATAGGGGTTTCACCAGTATCTTTAACAGTGCCTACCAGTCATGGTCAATTTGGCAATATTGAGGAGATTATGGGATGAAGGTATGTAAAAGTGCCCTCTGATTTTAACCAGTATATACCTCTATCCCAGTAGAGATGTGTGCTGAACCCAGTATTTTACTGAAAGTGGCTTGTAGACTTGTTATCTTTAGAAGCATGGCTGATCTTTCCAAAACAAGCCTAAGGTTGCAACTATCCCAGCTGAAATATTCCAGAATGCTCTGCTCCACTATAGATGCAGAATAGATGGAGTCTAGCCGAGCCAACAGGGCACTGGGGCTTCCAAAGGTTTGCCAGCCAAAAGCAATTCCCTAGCAGAGCTTTACTAGCCATATTACTTCTTGTGAGGTCGCAAGGCTCTGCTAGCTTTAACATGTGAATACTGGAATCCAGTCCAATCCAGCTGTTCACATATCAAAAACACAAGGTTCACTCCTGAAATCTCTAGAGTAGCTTATGGTAACTTGTGGTTCTCCTTGTTACGGGTTAACAGCTAGAAGCAGCGCTTCGGCTGTTGAGTTGGCCGCATGTTGTGGGGACAGCTAGCAGCGGGTTTGAGGTGAGTTTGTTTTATTTCACCTATGTATACAAGGCCATGAATATACAGATCTATTTTATTCTTCATTTATTGGATTCTGACCAGAGTACAACAGATTCTGTTTTTGTTAAAGGCATAGATCAGATAATGTTTCATCTCTGAAGTTTTAAGTGAGTAGCAAACCAACATTGGAAATCTTACTGAGTTATCCGATGTGTAATCAGAAAGTCACAATGTGTTGTTGTTGTTTTTACTTCAAGTTTCCTTTTTTAAGTGAACTTTGGTAATGGTAAAAAAGCAAACATATTTGTAATTAGACTAAATAAAAATGCAAGTATTTTCAATTTCAATTGATTTTAATTCCATTTCATTGAGAACAATTATTCATGATAATTTATAAGCCATTACCCAAATGCACATTTCAAGAATTATTCATGATGTAAATAGCATGTTTTGCCAATTTCTGCTACACTGCCGTACATTCACCTCACACCATGTCTTCTTTGCATGTTACTGTCAGTTCTTCTGTAATCTCTTCATTATATTGTACATCTTTGCCTTTTATTTAAATAAAAGACAATCATTTTTTGAATGTTTGTATTTAAACTTCTTGCCAACTGGTAACGTTAACTTTCGTTTAACTTGTGCACCAAGAACTTCATTGGGGTTTTCTTGTCGGTGTTGTAGCTTAATTGTGCACCCCAATGTAAGTTAAATGAAATTAATGTATCTAATGTATGCATCTTAGTTCACATGGCGTAACTTTATGAAAGATACAATAAACATTTGTCTTTGTATTTCTTCATTTGACACCATTGTACACCTGGGGATGCCAGTTCAGAACCATGTTTTGTGATGTTTCATTACCACATGGATGCCACCTCATCCTACGTCTCTGTCTTCTATATTAAATGTTGAATCATTTCCCATGCCAAATATATCCTTTACCTGGGGGACACATCAGATTTCTGATTTACTTCATGGAATGTGCTTCCAAGTTTTCTAGATCATGAAACCTTCAGAAAACTTAGAGCGAAAAAGTAAAAAAAAAAATGCTATGACAGTTTGTGGGAAGCTATCTCTACTAATCTCTTAAAGAAAATATATGTTACTACAGCTGAAAATAAAACACACAAAACTTTATGGTTGCTGCTGACTGGGGTTTTTTAAGCATCCTCCTGCTTTTGCATCAACACTAACAGCATTGTATCTTTCCCATGGTGCTACTGGCAGGGCCTAAGTACCACAGAGACTACATTACTCATCTCTGAACTTCAAGGGGTAAGCAGCAAAAGTGGCAGTGGTTATGCATCCTTGCATGAATTGTGGTGTCTCTTACTGTATGACAAAGGGCAGATAAAAAAAAGGTGTTTTCCAGTTTTCTTAAGATATTTTGGCTTGTATCCAGTAGATAGATGGAAAAATAGGCACACTGAATCAATGGAACATGCATATTATTTTACCAGTTTTCATTGGTTCAGTGAGTATGCTGTCGTTTAAATTACAATTTGATGTAAAGAGTTATTGTGTTGGCATTTCAACTAACAGGCATCTGGTATACTGTATGACCCCTGTATCTGCAGAAGATATGTTCCCAGACTTCGTGTTGAAGGACTTTGAGCCCGGGTATACCATATTAGGTGTTGAAAGACATAGAAAATGCCTAGAGATGACATTTTTGTCAGATGTAGACAAATTGAAACTGTGGATACTGGTTCCACAGATACTGGGGTCATACTGAACTTTAAAATAAAAAGGAACCCTGTAAATAAGGTTTATTTTCTTAAATGTTCTTTAAATGTTGCCTAAATTTTAATTCTCTAAAGTGTTCCATTAATTAATGTTACATAGGAACCATTAAATGGACAATTGTAAATATAGTGATACTAATGTTACAAATATTTATAAATTGCCTTGTAATGAAAACTGGAAAGCATTTCTTCAGTTATTGGATTTGGTATGGAGTTACTTTTTATTTTGTGTTTGGGCCTATTCTCTTATCTCTAACAAACATTTTTGCTCATTTTGACATCAGGCTTATCTTTAGTTCACTGACAGTCTGCATGCCACTCCTTAATATATGAACGGTTAATAGACCTCTCCTTGTATGTTGCACAGGAAGAACAAGCCTAAATGTTGGGTGAGGGGTATTGTTAATGGCATAATTTGAAAACAGAATGTAAACAAAAGTGATACATTTTACTTTTTAAATATTTGGCAGGAATGTGCAATTAGTTCAAACAGAATAAAACTTATCCCAATTAGATTCTCTTTCACGGTTATGTAAATGGCTTTGGATGGATTCTAGAAATGTTCTTTATTCAGTTTGTGACCCACTTTATCTCCAAGAAATTTAGTGGAGTTCTGGAACAGTAGCCTCAGATATGAAATGATAAAAGGTAACAAGAGACCTCTTATATTGGTATTGGGTGTTGATTTAACTAATGCACATTTCTGTTTTCATGAATATTTCCATTTTATTATGTATTCCACACTTTTGATAAAGTAACAGTAAATTTTTGAGAAAAAAAATATTTACAAAAATAATTAGACAGGAAAGTCTAGGAAGGCCCTGGAAGGCTGTAGAGTGAACCTAATGTGAAAATGCAGTGTTCCACTTTCTGCATCACTCAGTATATTAAATGATGTTATGCATGCTTTCATTAAGGCTGTGTGCTTGCTGGGTCCAGATGGTCAAAAAATTAAACCATTCCTTTGTTTCACAACAACAACAGCAAAGCAAAATTGTTTAGAATGTGCTGACACTTATTTGAAGAAATGTAATTTTGGGTGTGTTTCTATATAGTGTCCATATCTGCTGGGTAGAGATTCCAGAATACACACGAACACACACTATACTTGGGATGGAAGCATCCCAACTTCCCAACACCTACTTCCAGGAGGGAATCCCTTTTGGTGCATTAAGTGATACTGTAGGGACAGTATTTGTGGATAAGGGAGTCTTACTAGATTTAACATTAGAGATAACACTAATAAAATATATTTTAATGCTGGTGGATGAGAAAAGATGACATTATATTTCAAGAACCATTGGGTGACCAGTTTGTACCATAGGCATCCTTTTTTGCTGTGTAAGTGAAGGGGGACTTGTGAGTGAGTGGAGTGAGTAATTTGTTGGAGTGACAGGGTCATTGAAAAACCCTTCTTGGTCTGGGAGGTTGATGAGGTTCTAAGTAATCCTTAGACGTTTTATTGTACTGCTCTTTTTACCAAGACCTTCTTAAAAATTTTATAAATCCTTTTTTAGAAAGTTTACCAGGGAGATCTGTAAGGCTTTATGTTGATTATCGTTTGGCTGACCAACACCTCCAAATTACTGCTAAAGTTGCTAGCTTTTGTGCAGCAGCAATAGCTTGTCATCGCAAGATGCTGTCACATCTTTGAAGGTTTTAATATTTACTCCAGTTTTTACCATTGTCATTTCAGCATATACATGTTTAATACTGTTTTAACTATCATATTCAATACTGGGTTCTAACTTTATTTTTGACATTGTTTCTTAATGCCTAAATGTATATGTTCTTATTCTGACATTTCTACATTTCTTGGTGCTGGTCATTGACTGTAAATAAATGTATACATCAGTAGTCCTTATTGTTTGACAGCCATGCAGAAAGTTAGTGAATGAGGAAAATACCGAAGCAGGAACCAGATGCTCCTTTATTTATTTTTTTGATGTGATTCCCATCATCAACTGTTTAATGCACTTCTTTACAAATGTTGGTTGTATTTTTAATTATATGCTAAATACTGTATTTCAGTTGACTGAAGTTTTTTTTAATTTTCCTTTACATAAAATAGAGGTTTGCTAATGCCAAACCTATGAAGGCCAAGTACTAATGAAAAACTAGTTCATATTGGATCAGCTGCAAGAGGAGTGGCAGTAAAATAGAGAGTGGATTTGCTGCCATTGTGACAAGGACCCATCAGGTAACTCTGCTTATAGGCAGGGAAAATGGAGGCATAGAGATACATTCTAGCAACAGTAGTAGCATATTAGGGCTCAACTTTTGGAACTGGTGTTATACAAGGTGATACTACAGAGTAGGTTTGTTTGAACCATTGTTTGTTTGAAACAATGGTTCAGAACTTTTTGAAACTTCCAAGACTTCTGAATCCTTCCTTGTTTCAAAGTGTTATTTCCTGTTTCAATGGGTGGTCTTTACTTTGTAAGTAGTTGTTTTACTCCAGAAGCGGGAGGGGGAGGGGGGAAAGCAAAGGAAGAAAATTCATCCACTCTGGTTTAAACGCTTCCCAGGCTTGAGATAGAAGTGAGGGGAGAAGAGAGCGAGGAAATTCATCCATTCTGGTTTAAAATGCTTCCCAGGCTTGAGACAGTAGCCGGGGGGAGGAGAGGGAGGAAATTCATCCACTCTGGTTCAAAACGCTTCCCAGGCTTAAGGCAGAAGTGTGGGGAGGGGAAAGGGGGGAAATTCATCCACTCTGGTTTAAAACACTTCCCAGGCTTGAGACAGAAGTGTGGGGAGAGGAGAGGAAGGAAATTCATCCACTCTGGTTTAAAACGGCTTCCTAGGCTTGAGCCGAGGCCAGGGAAAAAGCTTTGGAAGGGCAAACAGACTTCTGGGTTCCTTAAAAACTTTGAATTCACTTCAAAAAGCAAATCCTTCTAAATGTATTCCAAATTACAAAGATTTCAACCGAACCTAACGATGCCTACTACAGAGTTATAAAAAGAAGGAAATTAGAAACTGTCATATCCATTTATCATATTTACTAGGCCTGGGTAACAACGGAAAAATTTGTTTCTAAAATCGATTCGTTTTTGGGGGGTTTTTGCGTTTCGTTATTTAAAATAATTACAAAATTTTCCTTTTAAAAAGTTCGATATTTACGAAATTTCGTAAATGGTAAAAAATTAACGAATCGATTTCAGAAACAATAACGAATCGATTCGTTAATGGCGGACGCGACCGCGAAATACGCTAAAAAACCTCCAAAAACTTCTGAAGCTTCCCTCTCCCTCTGTTGTTGACTGTTGGTGTGATATTATAATTTTTTTTCACTAATTAAACAAAAAACTTGCCCCAGACATGCGGAAATAATAACGAAACGACCTCAGACCAATAACGAAACGAATACAATAACGAAATACGAAGCATTTACAAAACGTGTTTAAAAATTCGTTTTTTAAAAAAATTGCTCCAGAATGGTTCGTTATCGTTTTGTAATTAAAAAAAATAACGAATTATTAATGAATTACGAATTAACGAAACGAAACCGCCCAGCCCTAATATTTACCTTACTGTTTTTTGATGAAATGGTTAGCACATTCTGATTCATCCCAAGAATATTAGTTTTATTCACTTTCAGGAATATTTTGCAAATCTCTTATTTATAGCAAGGAGAGCTTTATTATACAATAAGGTTTTTAAGGCTGAAGAATGCTTTATATCTGCTTTCATTTCTAAGCTGTCAGGATTTTAGAAACTGACTAGGATGTGTTTTTAATTATGTGTAGTGCTATTTTTAAGGTTTGTGTGTGGTCTTATATTGAATTTTAATATTTAATGTTTGAAAATAATGTTTATATTGACACATTTATTGATGCCTTTGTATGATTTTATTTTGTATCACTTGTAAATATATTGTTAGCTGCTTTGAGTTTCATTATTGAGAGATAAAGAACATAAATGAATAATATAAAAATAAGAAAGAAGCAATCTGAGGGCACATCTACACTGAACACTTATCATGTAGAGTCCCTGGATCAGCTCTGTGATGGTCAAGGTGAGGAATCTGGAAACAATATGTATAGTTGCCCAGAATACTCCAAATGTTGTACCAGTGAATATTGAGCAAATGGTTATTTGTTTCTGTGACAAAAAATGGAGAGACAAATCATTGTTCAAGGTACTGAGATTTCATGGTCAGGCCTTATGTTCACATCAGAACATTTTAAATGAGATTTACAAACAAAACAGAAGGTTTTTTAAAAAATTGTGTCAGAAGTGACTTGAGAGACTTCAAGTCTCTTCTGGTATGGGAGAATTGGCCATCTGCAGAGATGTTGCCCAGGGGATGCCCAGATTCCGTGGGGGGCTTCTCTCATGTCCCCACATGGGAAGCTGGAGCTGACAGACACAAGCTCACCCCATCTCATGGATTCAAACCGCCGACCTTCAGATCAGCAATTCAGTCAGCACAAGGGTTTAACCAATTGCACCATGCAGCTTCTTAAAGCAGAAAATTGGAGTCTCGAAAGTTTGAATTTTACAATATGATTTTGCACATTTATAAAATTGTGAACCCTGTGGTATCCGGCACTTAGAGCTGGTGAAAACCTCATGCCCTTCAAGTCTTTTTATTTCTGCTTTGTAACTTTCTTGACCCATACAAAACTCATAACTTCAGCTCATAACTTCAGCACTATAAAGCAAATTTTTGGGACTTCCTTTTGAATAGACATATAGAACTGCAGTGTTCACATGCTTAAATTAATGTTTTGTTGTATCTTATTTTGTAATTATTTGGAATGCTTCTGAATCAGGCATTGTAAAATGTAACTGCTTGCTATCTCCAACACTTTTATGTTTCTTGATCAGATATGCTTCCTTGGCCCTAGACTGACCTCAGTAGCATTTTGAATGCTACTGGTGTAACAATACCTATGGATATTTTTGTTTGTATGGAATGTATTTCTTACAGACCCAATAAATATATGAGAAATCAAGTCTTCTTATTTATCTGTAAACACCATTTGGCAGTGGAAGCCATAGACAGAATTTGTTTTTCTTTGCCATGTTATTGGTGGCTAACCCCCTGTTTATTTTGGAATTAGGGAATCCATTAGCTTCTTCTTCGAATGAGGTGCTGAAACCTTGTAAACAGCCTACCTAACAGTTAGGAGGTAGTTGGCTTGCTTTTTTTGCACTGAAGTGAATATATAAATAAGGAGAATCTTGAACCTTGTTTTAGACACCTTTGGAGGTAACTAAATTTTAAAATGAAATGTGAGACTCACATCTTTTCTTAGCCCTGCAAGTTAGAAGGCACATTTAGTGTGCACACAGCACATTACTAGAAACCTGAGAAGTAACCATGTAGAAGAGAAATCTCCCTTGAAATATCCTTTTCTCCCTAAAGATGTTGCAAAATGGATAGCAAAAACTGTCTATATAGTTCAGTTTTTTTCTTTATGGCCATGTGGATAGATAAGACACATATTTGTGCTATGAGCAAGCATAGATATTCACATTATTTCCCACATTTTATACAGCCCAACTTTCATTAGATAGGGCCTCTCAGAGACACAACTTGTGACTTAGCATGTCTTCTGAAGCTTCTAGGAAGCAATTTCCATGATTGCATTGTTCTGTCAGGATGATACACTGTGCTCACAGGAATTGAACCCCAAATGAGTAAGACTATTCTTATTCATGAATGTCTCTTGGATTCCTTTTCTGTGAACATGCTATGGAAATAGTGAAGACAGATACCATAGACAAAATTTTGAATGCCTGAATTAGATCTGAAGTGCATATCCTTCCCCCATATGTATCTAAAATTATTTGCTGCATTGCCTTCAGATCCAGTAAAACATATGTTTGACCCCACACTCTGTGCAATTGCAGATTTAGGATTTTTGAATAGTGTACTCATGTGTTAACTCCCTGTTGGTTGTTCCAGAAAAGTGGAAGGAGATTCAAATTGTTCCTGAAGCAACGTCTCAGGGTAAAGAATTATTATGTGATACAGCTTACAACTTGGATGGCTGCAGTTTATAACATGCTTTACTATGTGATGTCTCTGATTAATTGGGAACAAGATTTGAAACCTGATAAACATCCCTGTAGTTTCTTTTTTCTTCTTGATACTTCTGTGGTAGTTTCCAAACAAAAACAGAATTTTAAGCAGCAAGAATTTTAAGCACAATCGAGTAGAATTTCTTGATTTTCATTCTGCCCCTTTAAAAGAAAACACTATTATTATTATTATTATTATTATTATTATTAACATCATCATCATTATCATTACTACTACTACTACTACTACTATTCCCTCTACTATACTTTATATAATTTAATGATATAATTTAAGAGTAACAGAAAGATTTCTAAATTAGATATAGCTGATCAGCATCTATAATGCAATTTCATCTGCATACCACCATCCCCTCCCCCAAATTCTTCAGCCAACAGAAGAAACTATAAACATCTCTTTGTCACTGAAGGCATTATGATGGAAATAAACTAACTACTTTGAAGACTTTGAAAGCTGAATAAGATAGCAAAAGCATATGGGACAATAACATAAATTAAATAGCAAAAATCTGGTCACCTCTGCTGCTGCTGCTACAGATCACATGAAGTCACAGGAGTTCAAATTGGCAAAAACTATTGAGTTTGCCAAGGAGTTATTTAAAGTAGAACTCCCATATCTGTGGAAGCAGTATCCATGGTTTGATTTATTCCAATCCAACAAAATATGTGTCCTTTAGGCATTTTCTATGTCTTCCAGTGTGACTGTATTATATTCTTGGGTCAGACAGTCTTCATTTCAATAAGGTGTTCTATTAACCATGGTTGAATGTATTCACGTGAAGTCTGGGTACATATCCCTCTGGGGTCATACTTTATTTGAGAAGGTGACGTAAAAGTCATTTGATGTTGACTGATGCTGAACATTGGTTAGAAAGGCCAAGATAAAAAAAACTATCTTTGTACTAATTTATTCACTATTTGTTATTCAATAGAAGAGTTACATCATTTTCTTCAATAAAGACATTTAATTGTTAAGTGACTTTTGGCTTACCTTTGTGTACACTGCATTTGCATAAAAACATGTCCAAAGCAGCAAGCAAAATCAAAATCAACAATATAGATAATGAATCCACTGACATTATAAACAGTTTAAAATCAGATTAAAAGATGATAGAATGACATTCAGTTAAAACATAATCCTAGTTAAAATAGCTATAAAGAAGAAATTGCCTCACAAATTATCTTTTGGATGAAAAGGGGAACTGGCATTGGTCATAGTTAGGGGATATTCCCAGTTTTCCCAAGTTATCTTGCAAAATTTATGAGAACTGAGCCAACTATGAAAATTTAACTCTGTGAAATAGCTTATCCCAAATCTGATTAAAATTACATACCTTACAAAAGCTGTTCCCATTTGTGCTCTCACACAATGTTGTCAGCTAGATCTCACTGCTAGGAATCTGTTGCTTTCATAACCTAAATGTAAAAGTTTCTCTTTATTTTCCGTGCCTCTGCTGTGCTTCCTGCTTTCATGTATTGCAGCTGTGTCATATTTACCACCAAATATTATTGTTGTACAATGCAACATTAGACTAGGATTAAAATATTTGCCCTCATAATGTTTGCAGCAGCTTCTAAAACAAATTCAAGCAAAAGCTAAATGTTGTTTAAAAATAGCAGACGGGGAGTGGGGAGTTGTCTCTGACATACTAATATATGTTTTTTTTTAAAAAAAAAAAACGTCTGAAATATGTATAGTGGATGTCACAGATACAGATCCTTCCTGCTTCAGGGGCTATTATTTCATAAAGCATATGTATATTAAGAATGACTTATTATTGGGGTGTGTATGTTGAGTGTTGTCATGTATGGGGACTTCAGTCCAGTGATTGACACTGTAAATAAGGGAAAGAATAGGGAGAAAGGAAAAACATACATTTGAAAAAATAAAATACATGAATCAACTAAAAAAATCCTCCTTAAATCACAAAAACCCCACTTTAGTATGACTATAGCATTTTTCGCAAACTAGAGGACTTAACTTGGGGAATAAACTGAAGGGTATACAGTTTCCTACCATGTTAAAAATGGCAGCAGGTGTTAAAATGTGTATTATTTTTTCCTACAGATTGACAAACGGCATCAAAGCAAAGACTCCATTTTCTTCAGAGATGGTGTCCGACGAATAGACTTTATACTGGCATATGTGGATGATCCAAAAATAGAAGGAGAAAAGAAAGTGGTAAGTTTCTTTCATGGCAACTTCTGAAAGAGCAGTATAGGAAATAGTACATCAGAAGTGGGACCAAATTATATTCTGGTTGTTCCCTGGAACAACAGGGCATAAGAGAATGGTCCTCCCCATCTTCTCCCCATGCCATCATAGTGATCTCTCTATACAGAAAGCAACATAGCATGATCTGTTCGTGCTTCATAATAATGATAATGATAATAATAATAATAATAATAATAATAATAATAATAATAATATATTTCAAATCTGCCTTCTCTACCTGAAGGGACTCAGGGCAGTTTCCAGAGCAAAAGGCAAATATTCAATGTCACAAACATAATCATACAAACACAACACTCTAGAAATAATAACAAGTAAATAGTAAATTAAAAACACAAACAAAATAGACCCCCATGGGGAAGATGGACGATCAGGCCTCATAAAATATTTAAGCAATAAATACTATTTAAATGTGAAATATAAAATATAAGATATAGATATAAAGATGACTCTCAAAATAAACAAAGCCTTAACAAGGACATCAGTCAGATCGGAGAGGGATAACATTACTCGTCACTCTCTCCATATGTTATGGAGCATAAATATGTTTCTAACTGTTTTTTGAAAGGAGGGAGGGAAGGGGCTGTTCTAAGTTCAGTGGGGAGGGAGTACCTAAGTGAAGAAGCAACCATGAAGAAGGCTCTCTCTCTTGTTCTCACCAACCGCACTTGAGATGGGTGTGGGACTGAGAGGAGGGCCCTCTCCGATGATTGCAGCGGCCGGTTTATAGATAGGGGTGTGGATTCTTAAACAGTCTTTATGTATTGAGAACATTCCCTTTTAATGCTGGAGGAAGGAACCTTTCCTGTAATTATGAGAGGAATCCCCACTCTTATCCATGATAAATTATTAGTTGTAAGAGAGGGCATATATCACTGCATTACAGAAAGGCTTATTTTCTCAAGTCCCACTTTTTTATTTTTTATGAATAATTGCAGGTCAGAACAGGGATTCCTCTACAGAAGGGCTTCCCTCTATTAGAAGCAGTTTGCCTGCAGTGCTGGGAATTGAGATCATTGTCTGGAGATTAAAGCACAGATGTTTCAGAAAGATTGGGAATGTCATCTTTTCTTCACACTGATTAATTATACAGTTCTGCAAAACTGAGGACCACAAAACCTTTTTTTTTAAAAAAAAAGCATGGCAACATGGCAAACCAAGATCTTTCTCTTATGACAGATGAACCAGTTCTCAGAATGGCCCAGTGTATGTAAATGATAGAAGCAATCTTAAGGCTCTCTGTTGAGAGAGACATAGGTCAACAGTAAAAGTAGAAGCATCAGGCATCACATTTTGCCAAAACATATTAAGAAGTCTGTGTCCAAATCACTGGCTGACTTTATCAACCACAGAGCAATATGGTAAGAATAAGTGAATCCATCAGGCAACTTTGAGGACTTGGATTTTGAAGTCCCCCTCTACTGCAACATATTCAAGGACATCAAGACCCAGCCATTTTGGGAAGGAAATCCCATGGCCACCCTCCAGTTTCACTTTTATCTCACTAGTATCAATAGTGACAGAAACCTTGAAGTTGATATTTTGTTCAAAAGGCAAATGGGATACTCTTTCCTCCTCTTCCCACATTCAGTCTTTCCTGGAGTTGCACATAATGGTGTTTGTGTCACCCTTGCAGTTGAACCAAGGATTGAAGGGGGAAGCACCAGGTTCTCATAGCCTTCATCCAGATTCACCTCAAAACCTTTGCAACCTGGCAAGATCTTGCCTTCCACTTAAACAGTGTCTCCAGGGCAAACTTTCAAATGAGTAGCCACCACTCCATAGTCCATGATGCAGTCTCACAAGAGGTCAATTAGTCAGGAGCTTTTTTTAAAAAAGGCTGATTTTATAGGAATGTAATGTTCTAAATCCCAAAATGGCCTCAGATTTGCCCGATCACACCTTGTTTTTACATTTTTATATTGTTATATATGACTAATATTTATTTAGGGACTAAATAGAAAACAGTACGAAAGGGATTGAAGTGTGATGAAACGATTTAATTTGCTGATATGAAACAAAAATCCACTAAATGAAAAGCACTAAAAGAAACCACATTTGAACATCAAAATCCAAATTAATGAAAAATTAGCACCAAAAAAATAATTAAAAACATCTACAGTAGGCATCGTCAAATTGCGGCCCTCCATCTGTTTGGGCCTTCAATTCCCCAAATTCTTGACAATTGAACAAGCTCATGAGGGCTTCTGGGACTTGGAGACCCAAACAGCTGGAGGGCTGCAGTTTGACAATGCCTGATCTACAATATTGGAAAAGATTTTTCATTGTGGATTGTTATCAAAGAGCTATCCTTCTTTTTCAGGTGAGAGTGAAGCTTCCTTTGTCTGGCACTAGGAGAAGGGTAGGGGCATAGATTAGAACCTGTTCTGTAGGCTAGTGGTTTCCTAACTCTGATGTAGATGTGTATTGTTTTTGAAATGCTGTAAGCTGGTATTTGATACTGACTAAATATTAATAGATTTCAATTACTGACTAAATAGAATTCTGTCATATATTTAATATATGGTCTGCTATGGTCTGCTCATGCAGTTTATGTGTCTGCATCCAGAAAGCTGTAAGATTCAAAGTTAAAATGCATTGACTGTTCAGCAGCAATATTGATGTCATAACCAAAGAAAAATGGTTGTATTATTTTCTTTTCCTGTTGATAGTACCAGGCCTTTGATTGCAGGCCTGAGCAAGAGGGAGGAGGGAAATGATCTCCCCACTTTTTTCTTGATCGGTTCTGTCAAAATGGGACACCCATGAAAACCAGATCACATGGAACTCTATGGCCATCTGAGAGCACTGAATGTGGCGACACAGGCACAGTCCATTCCCTTTCCCCTAGAATATTGACCACAGCGAAAGGGGAATGCCTGCAGTGCTCTGTGTAGACAGCAGATTGTACCAAATTTGGTTGCCTACACTGTCCCAATGTCCAGGATTGCATGGAGTTTCAGGCAGACTCCTGAAACTCCACCTCTCAAGTTTTCCTAACATAGAATTAAACCAGATTAACCTAGTTTATGCCAGGGGGACAGCCAAGGGACAGCCAGGAGTCAACACGAGGTGAGTCCAGGTTATAATGCCTGTAAAGAAAATCCACAAGTCATTATAAATTGGTTCAAAAGATTGAACCTGATAATTGTATTTCAGAGGTGATACAGGGGATCACCAATAAACAATTATCAGCAGCATTCCACTTGACACTTTCAAGGATAATTTTCAGGTAGAAAAAGTGATATGAAACTATGTAGCACAGGCATGTGACATGTTAGGAAAAATAAAGTTTTAAATAAAAAATATTTTACAAATCTGCAATAGCACAAATATGAAAGAGTATTGTGGGCCCCTTGCTGTGTTAAGAACATTCATATGTTCAAATTCTTCTGATAAGATGTGTTTTAAAAGGTAGCCTACATAGTCTTGAAGCGAACAGGTTTGCCCTTAAAGAAACATGTTGAACTTTACCAACATAAAAAATTGAAATCTATATGAACTTTGTCTCTAGGTTAGCATTAATATAACTGATTGATTGATAAAGGAGAGAGACAATCACTCAAATTTCCCTGGCTAATTCGATTTATTGGTTGTAAAAATACTTTTTATGGATATGTAACAGCTTAAGCACCCACATATCAAGCACAAAAGAATAAACAAGAGGAACAGTTGCTGCTGTTGAATTTCAGGAACAGGGTGAGGCTGTTGATTGTATGAGTATCCATATTTCTTGGGCATTTTTCACTTGAAAATTACTGTATTTCACCATATAATCATCACATACATTATGCCTTTTTTGCCAAAAAGGGGAGTGTGATCATTAAGTGAACCATTTTTTAAAGTGGAAACAAAAAGAGAGCTGAAGGCCCTTGAATGACTGCTCCACACAATCAATCCCACATTTGGCTCCCCCCTGGACTTGCCTCCTAGGTTTTCATGTCCCCTCTTCCCTCCCATTCACTACTGAGAAACCCTTCCCATCCTGCAAAAGTTAAGTGATAAAGGGGCTGTGTGTGTATGTGGAGGAGGCAATTTTAGGGACTTAAAAAGCAGGGCACAACAGTTGAGTAGTGGCGACAATTATGTGGTGAATATGATACTTGTGGGCTTGATAGGCTGTAAAAAAGGCCATAAATTCCCTATTTACAACAAATGACTTTCATTTCAATATAATGTATTTCTGTTTGAGCAGCTGACTATGAATGACTTGGATTTCCTTGTCCAGAAGAGCATAAACATAATACAGTAGAAAGCCAGTTGTTGCTGGCTTTCAAATGTCAACAAGCTTTGCTAGCGTATTCAGTGGCCAGGAGTAGTGTAAGGTGCAGTCCAACAACCTCTGGAGGGCTGAACTTTCCCATTCTTGACATATCAGAAACAAGAATGTTAACCTTCACATATTTATTGTTGTATAACAAATAGCCTTTGCTATAGGATGTTGTCACATTTTGCATCTGGTTTTATATCTTTCCAAATAGTACAGTGAAGAGATATTATGCAAAGTATATGCAACATTTTATTTTATGCATGTTCATAAGTGTATATCATTCCATCACACTTCATAGTACTTTTACAGAACTGTGTTAATAATATTCATGTAAAAGTAAGTAAATAAAATGTGAATCTGACATATGAGAAGTAATGATTGCACAGTATAGAAATATCCTGCCCCAGTTTTAGTTCTACATAGGTTGTAGCCGGAAGATGGTGACTAATATCACTGATTCATTGGGTCGTTTCCTGGAGTTCATTTTCAAAGTATCCTGTTGACGTGTAATATGCCCCTCTTTTCAAAAGTACAAGATTTTTTACTTTACTTTTTTCCTTTGTATTTACTTGTTCTGCACTCATACTCTATGCCACCAAGAATACTTTGAACACACACATTTTCTCCACACCAGGCATCAATTTAAAGAGTCCCATCTTTATTTCCCTCCTAAACTGAGCAGTCCCAAGCATTATAATCTTCTTTCATGTGGATATTGCTATTACTTCTTAATTATAGTTATCCTTTTCTGCATTCCCCCAGCTCTGTGTTATGTATGTAGCCATCAAATCCTTTTTTTCAAACTGGCAATGCTATGCCATTCCCAAGACTAACAGGAAGGATAACACTGGTAATATTCTGTTTTCAATATCTGTGTTTTTCTAAGGAATGTAGGATTTAACAATTACACTAAGCAGACCAAGCCCTTAGAAAAATATTGTAGAAATGCTGATTTCCTATCCCAATGTCTAACAAACCCAGTAGAACGTTTTGTAGGTTCCAAAATCCGGACTTCAAAGACCTTTAGCAGAAGATTATATGTAGCTGAATCATATTTTTTACATTTTTTAAAAAAAGCTTACTGTAGATTTTGAAAAGGATGTTTGGAATGTCTTTGGAATGATTATGGAAATAGTCCAGAAGCTGGAATATGTCTGAGATAATATTAGGCCCTGCCAGATATGAGAGCACTAGTTGCCACTTACTTGTACATATTAAAATAGCTTCCAATCTATTTAATCTATAGTTGGTCCCTAAAAATCTGAAGATGTTAGAGTTATTCATGCAATTAGAAGAGTTTATTTTTCTTTTGCTTTCATTTAAAACTTGAGATGATACAATAAGCTCTATAAACAGTAAAACTAGTCAGGAAAATAATCACCAATTAATTTCAAAATTGGTTTTGTTTGCATTATTTGGTGAGAACATGCACTTACAGTGCAATTCTGTGCAGTGATCTTTCTGTAACACAGTGACTTGGCAAAGTGCCGTGGGCTAAGAATAGAAGCATTCTTGGGAAAGCATCTGACAGCTGCACATTTTAGAAGTCAGTGTGCTTGCTTTGTTTTTCATGCATATGCTAATAGGCCACTTCAACATTTGTATAAAGAAGCACAGCTAAGAAACATATTTGACACTCTTCCACTTCCAACATTAAAAAAAAGTCAACAGGGAGCTAAAATGCCACACAAAACATTAATTCTTTATTGTTGGATTATCAACATAGTTTGAAATTAATACAAAGTGCTTCTTCAGTGTGGGATTTTGGCAATCTAGCCCTAAAAATATTTTGAAGAATGGAAATCTCACTGATTCCCTAACCATTTATGTTTAACTCATGTTCAATAGTTTTCTATTAGGTGAATATCATTAGATTCGTGTGGTAGCTATGGAAATTTCCCTATGAGGAAATTTTACAGAAATACAAACTATTATTTGCAGCGAGATATTGAAAAGTAAAAAAAAGGCAAGATCATAGAGTCATAGACTTTTGAGTTTAAATAAGCATATCAAAATAAAAACCCTGTACGAAGAAGCCATGACTTACAATAAACAGGCTATAAAACTGCTATCTGTGCAGCACTAACACAACTTTTTAAGATAGCATATATTACCAGTTTATTATATTGCACTTTCATCAGAACTTTAAACATAGAACTTTGGTGCCTTTTAATGATCTTCATAAACTGCACTGTGGGACTGGTGTCTATTTTGCATTATTACTTTAAAGATGGAAATTGGAATTAGTATACACACAAAATGGAAGTCAGCCAGCTGTGCAGATAATTCTGTGTAGAGCTAATAATGTTTTATGACACATCAGCTGCTTAAAGAGTTGAGAGATCTTGCAAAAAGGAGCCAGATATGGAACTGTCTAGAGGTCCTATAGACAAATAAATATTTCAGAGCTGCCGTAAGACAAATATGATATTTTCCTGGACCTCCTGGAAGCCAATACATCTTTGAGAGACACCCAGGTAGAAAAGATGGTGCACAGACATGGGGTCATTGCTGGACAAGGGTGCTGTTTATCTCCTTTCTCAATAACCATAAAAGATCATATGCAGACAGAAGTCTATATAGTCCACAAATAGGATTTCAGATAATAAGGCACATTTTCTTTAATGTTAGAAGTTTATTTCTATTGCTATTACTATGTGGTGGGAAAAATGTTTCCTTTCTTTTTCTTTAGGAACGGAGACGGGAATTTGAGAACAACCTAGCAAAGGCAGGTCTTGAGCTAGAAACTGAAGACAAGAAGGTAAATATATATATATTAAAATACACAAGCAAGATGGGGATGAAGCTCTCCACTTGAAAATAGAATATTTGTCACATATGTAATGATAATATGACTGAGGAGTGAATGGAGTTGCCCGTTCTTATGCTGATCAGACAATAATTAAGATAGCGATATAGTTCTTACCTTGCAATCTATACAGGCATTACTTGGTTGCATCATGTTGCTATCCACATCTCACCCTGAGTTACCCTGGTAAATCCTGGTTATATGTAGCATTGGGAAGACTACATTTGTGTAACAACCAGTAACATGACTGCAAATCATAATGAAATATTTAAAGCCTGCAAAGTTTCACTTCCTTTCTAGTGCTCAGCATACTTTGTGTTTGCATGTATGGAGTATGTGGTGAAATGAAAACAATGTAATTGCAACAGAGCTTTTATATATATCATGTTCATACTGTGTAAATCCCCGTAGGTGTTTTGCTACACCAAAAAGTAGAAATGATACAGCAAAGATTTGGGTCAAAAGATCCAAAATTATAAAAGAACATGTTAGAAAAGGTACTTTTAAAATACGACATTTTTGTAAAATTCACAACTCTTGGTATTTTCTGCCTTTTGTCTCAAATTTTGACTGATATTAAACTAGGACTTAAACATTTTAAAAAAGCATAATTACCTTGTTTTAGAGTCTGGGTTATGTCATTGTTTTTACATAGATCCTATTTTTTTTTATCACAATTAAATAGGATTTAGGGCTTTGCTTATTATTGTGCTATTATCCTTGTTTTGTATTCGTTACCCAGCATTTTAATACCATGCAGAAGCAAGATGTTTTGTTTTTGAAAGGAAGTGAATGGCATTTGGTCTGCAGTGATAAGTAAAAGGTTTGGACTGCGAATTGCTTTACAAACTGCATATACAATCAAAAGGAAATAGTTCTAATTTTTCACTCCCTAGTAAATAACCCCCCCCCCCCCCCAACCTATGGAGTAGTTAGAACATTTATGTCCAGGAATATTATTCTGATCCTTTTTCTCTTTTTTGGTTTACACTGCATATTTTTTTTGATATCATTTATTTATTTGTATTTGAAATGGAAAGTTTGCCATGATTAAATTCATTTGAACCAGCTCTTCCCGGTTGTGTAGTCTCTCTCTTCCTGTGGAATGATCTTCCATTAAAACTCAGAAAGGCATTCATGTATATATTTCCATATATGTTGATAATGCACTTATATGTTCACCTAGGGTCTTGTTTGTGATTAGCAATTGGACTTTGGCCTTGACTGTATTTGTATTTTCCTATTTGTCTTGTCATACATATGGCTTTTATGGGAAAAATCAGGGAAACTCCAATGAAATTCCAGAGTATCCTGGGGTCTGGGGGCAGTTTGGACAGTGAGAATAGGTTCAATTCAGTCTGATTCTTTGTCCAAACAGACATGGTTTCCATTACCCTTTCTCTGTGCTGATCCATGCAAGGAAAGGGGTTGGATCATGCTTGTGCCACTGCCTCTTCTCCTAACCAGCCATGGACCTTCATCCAAGCTCTTGCTGTTGCAGACCTCTCTGCTAATGTCAAAAGAGGTTGCCTGTGTGACTAGAAATAAAGAAACATCTCTCCCTGTTTCTTGCTGTTTGTGTGGACACCCCATTCCGATATCAGCAGAAGCACTTGCAATGTCCAGAAGCTTGGCTAGAGCTTGTTACGAGCCAGGAGCAGTGATTGTGGGAACAAAGAGAAAGTGACAATCCAGTATAGGATGAATACAGTGAATATAGATGAAGTACAGGGAAAATAGAACACTATGTATATATACCAGGAAAGATTCTGGAACAAATCATTAAGGAGATAGTCTGTAATAACTTAGAAAGGAATGCTGTGATCATTAAAAGTCAGCTTTGGTTTCTCAAAAACAAACAAGTTATTTCTTTGTTTGATAGAGTTACAAGTTTAGTAGATGCAGGGAATATTGATGTAGCATATGTTGATTTCAGTAAGGCCTTTGACAAAGTCTCCCATGATCTTCTTGCTAGTAAACTAGTAAAATGTGGGCTAGACAATACTACTGTTAGGTGGATTTGTAATTGGTTTACTGACAAAACACAAAGGATGTTCACCAGTGGTTCTTCTTCATCCTGGAAACTCCATGATTCTATGAGTCTATGTATTGTGGATTATCTGATTATAGTTGGCTTATGTAGTATATTTTATAGTTTAAAAACAAATGTAGAGAGGTTTAACATCTTTTTGGTTGTTGTTGCAGGAATCTGAAAATGGCAAAACTTACTTTGTGAAGATACATGCACCATGGGAAGTTCTGACCACATATGCTGAAGTGCTGAACATCAAAATGCCCATCAAGGAAAATGATATCCCTTGTGCTGTAGAAAACCCCTTTGACTGGGTGGCCTGGCCATTTAGACTGCCTGAGATTGTGATGCATCCAGAACCAGACTACTTTACAGCCCCATTTAGCAAGGAAAGGCAAGAACTCTACCTCATTGATGATGAAAACACATTTTTCTCCCCATCTATCAGGAACAGAATTGTGAGTGCTTCCATTTATTGTACAATTTGAACACACACAGGGCTCGATTCTTTTGTTAGCCTTGGCTAGGGTAAATTAATTTTACCAGTTGGATGTGCTGATTCACCATTCAGTTTATTGAATGGTTCTTCTGTAGTTGCCACTAATAAATAGAAAGCCAGTTTACAACACACGGTTTACAGTGGTGAAATGTCTATGCAGAAGACTTAATTGTTCTTTCTGAATTTCTGTTATTTGTTATTACGTGTCTTCAAGTTGACTGTGACCTATGGTGATCCTGACATAAAGTTTTCTTGTCAAGGTTTATTCAGGGGAAGTTTTCCATTGGCTTCCTTTAAGCCTTAGAAAATATGAGTTTTCCAAGGTCACCCAATGGGTTTTAAGGATTCAGACCATGAAATTCTAGAGCCCTGGCCCATCACTCCAATTACTACACCATGCCAGCTTTTTATGAACCTATGTATGGTTACATGTTCCGGTGCTTGGAGCAAATGAAAAAATTGTTTACATGTATTGCTTGCTGAGAGCATATTACTACAGTACAAAAGCGGCCATATCTCTCTTCATCCTCAGTCCATAGATGGAGTTATAAGGTATTTCTGTAGGTCAAGGACTTTTTCCCATAATAGCCTTGTTAACAGGCACTTCATACTTCTTTATTAAAATTCTCCATTCATGGATGAAATCTGCTCTAAATTCATAAAGCACAATTATGAATTTAGGAAGATTCTTGAGGCATTTGTCAATTAATTGGTACAATTAAGAAACTGGAACTTACAGTGCAACTTTATTGAGTATTTAATGTATCATTCGTGTTGCTAGCCTTGTAGAACAGACCTTTATTTTCTTCCCAAAATGCAAAGAAAAATAATTTATCTCTGGTACATCAGCTGATGTGGGGTGAGACCACATGTTTTAGGGTTTTTTTAAAATAGAAAAAATCAAATCTTAAGATATGAGATGTCACAGTTATCTCATGGATATTCATAAAATTTGAAAGCTATATTCCTGTTAGCTTTCTGCTCACAAAAACATTTGATCTGTCAGACTAGACTGGGTTTGTAGTGACTTTTAGAAGTGATGACCTGAGCAACACGCTGTTCAGAAGGCAGCACCAAGGCTTCAACCACCTGCCCACACTTCTCCTCTTCAATTAGAGATGATGTGTATGATTTTTCCCTTTACAAAAGTGTCTCTGCTCCATTGGGCTAAAGTAAAAAATAATAATTTCAGAATGAAGCAAGAGAATGCACCCATTAAATTATTGGATAATGGCTTTTATTGGGTTTTTTAGCAATTAAATTTCGTGGCAGTGTCATTGCTAGCCCTTGTGGCCCTATAACCTCTTGTCCTGTTCTCCCCCCCCCCCCCAAATCAGTTCTGGGGCTCAATCTGGAACCAGTTTTGAACTCTTTTAGCTGACACAGGTTCTTTAAGGATCACCATCCCAGATCTATTCATTTCCATCTGACACTACAGGGAGGTAGCAGACATGTCAGACAATGAAAGTCAGAGCAGATATCTTCAACACTACAATTTTACCAGCAATGTTGTAAGCCTCTGAAATGTAAGCAACAACAAAGTTAGAGGAGGAAAACTGGTGGCGGCAATGGAAAGAAGGATGTGTGGCATGACAATAAGAGATAAAAGTCAGCAATAAAGAGCTGCATCAAAGAACCAGGGATGTGACGTGGTCAATAAAATCTATGAGACAAAAAGGAGATGGGCAGGGCATATACTATGAGCAAAAGACAACCGATGGACATATCAACTAATGAACTGAATACTAAGAGACCACAAGCAGATCTTTTATTCAATAGGATTAACCAATGGTTAAGCTATTCAACCAGAAATGGAAGAGAAAAGCACAAAATCGTATATTTGGGCAAAGAGTAGATTTGCATGAAACCCAAAGGAGTGGATCAACAACAAATCAAATAGGATAGGCTTTTATTGGTCAAGACATGTACAGAAAGACACAGCACATGACACACTTTTCCCTTGACTCGATATCTTTCTCCTTCTCTCTAAACTTTATACAGAAATATTTTAGTATTTAAATGAAATAATTTGCCATTTTAACAATCAAAATTCATTTAATTGACGGATATACCTATTTTTGAAAGATAAAGAAGCAGAGAAAGATATTTCATTGGCACTGAAGTACATTTCAATTTGCAAGAAAGTATCGGTTTTAAGCTACATGTTCTATCTTTTTTACCTCCTTTAGGTTTTCTATATTTTGACAAGATGTCCTTATGGAACCGAAGAAGGGAAGAAAAAGTTTGGCATCAAAAGGTTGCTAAATAATGGCACCTACTCTGCTGCTTACCCTCTTCATGATGTAAGTACTGGTAACATCATCATAAATTCTTTCAGTCTTCCATTTCCTAAAATTTCTGACAGCCCCCCCCCCCAAAAAAAACAGACCCTCATCATCTGTTTTTAATTGATACATTATGTTCTCTGTCTTGTACTAGATGTAACACCTGCATTTCTCTGTAATTGTGACTATTGTTGCAGAAATGTCTTGTAACACATATATGTAAATGCACATTGCTGAGCTGAGACAGCCCTTATGCAGGCTGCAGGAGAAGTGAAAACAGGAAGCGGAAAGAGATCAGTAATTACAGCAGTGCTGTAATTAATATTAAGGTAGCAAGATAACAGATATACTCTTATGTCACAGCGCCCTCTGCTGGCACGTAGTCATAGCTTTACTTGTTCAATACATTTCCCCCCATCTGTATCTGGACTAAAAAGATAAAATTGTTTGGGGGATGGGAGTTTCAGAAAAATAAACATTTTATCTTTTTTAGAAAAATAATGTAAAATGAATATAGTTTGAAAATAATATTCTTTATGGTTGTAAAATTCTTATGCCGGAGTTTACTAAGGCAGTTATGAATGTGTAACACCTTATTTTAAAAAATGATATTTTGTCCCCTGCCTAATAATCTTCCATCCCTATTTAATGGACAGCATCCATAGTGGTCAATTAGAGGTCTGTTTTGCTGTCAACCAGAAAGCAGATGATTGAGGTTCCCATCTTCTCCCATGATCCATTGAATCATAGAATCATACAGTTGAAAAAGACTATACTCGGCTGCTTCCTGATTGGCCAGAAAGCAGACCTAGCCATTGATTGTTGTGGATGCTGCCTAGTAAGTGGGGAATGGGGTGTCATTACATGTCCCCTAAACTAGTGAATATGTGGGATCATGAATATGAACTAATCATTAATGTAAGATTCTGGGTTACACATTCATGAATGTCAACTATTACATATTCCTTTAGCATAAATTTATCACATTTGTCATATTAAAAGTACAGTTTATTCAGAATAGAATTACAGATTGAAATTACTTTTAAAAACACGTTTGTATGTATGTATGTATGCACAGTAGAGTCTTGCTTATCCAACCTTCAGTTATCCAACATTTCGTCTTATCTGAGTCTCCCTTTTTTCATCCAGCATTCCCCCTTCAAAAAAATGAGTGCTCCCCAACTCTCTTTTCATTCCCAATAATGGTGGAGGAGGGAGGAAAGGGAGAAAAGAGGCAAGACCAGAAGCTGAAGTGTCCTCCCTCCTTCCCTTGTTCTTTCCACACTCCTCTTCTGCATCTGGACACTTCCTGCTGGGCCGCTCTAGCTCCGAGGCATTGCGTTGCCTTAATCATTTCAGTCACTGTTGTTAGTATTGTAGGTGTCCAGCACCACATCAAATGGGTAACAGTAGGAGACTCCATATTATCTGACATTTTCATTTATCCGACGTTCTGCCAGCTCATTTATGTCAGATAAGCGAGACTATTGTATGTATTTTGCTGAAAATTATGCTATCGTATCCTGAATTATAAGGGATACTTAGGTTATGAGGAACCTTGGGTTTTGTCAGTTTGAGGAACTGGCAAACAAAACCTGAATAAATAGAGCAAAATATCAACATTAGTAAAATAGACCACCTTTGTAATTGGACACATAATTCTTATTAAAACCATACATTTAGTACTATGAACATACAACTGAATGTTATCTCTTCCCTTCCTTGCAACTTGCAAACACACTGAAATCTGGGTGTCTCCTTCTTCTTCTTCTCTCTCTCGCTGTCTACCAATCTGTCACCTACAGACTTCTGGTATTTGGAACAAACCGAGGTTGCCACTAACTCCTCTATTCTGCTTCTTATTTTATTCAATTGTTCACTGATACAGTGTCAGTACTGGAGGAAAGCAAACGATCCAAAATGTGAAAATGAGAGGTACACATTATACCGGGAGTGGGCAAGGTTCCCTCGCTTTTTCAAAGAACAGCCTTTGGATCTTATCAGGTGAAGGTTTTGCGTGTTGATATTTGTGGAGATTGTGGGCTTGTACTGGGCTGTATATCTATTTTTAAATGATCCACTGTTGCAAGGAACTTGCATAGAAGTCTTAATAAAATAGTGTTTGATAAGTTGGACCAGCACTCGAGGCTTTTTTTTTAAAATAAAGCAGAATTTTATGAAAAGCTTTGCTAAAAGATAATATGCTAAATCCGTTGTTACAATACACTGTGAGTTACGAATGGTATATCTCTACCTGTGCAACAGGAATTGCTTCCTCTGCTCTCCCTCACAGGCCTCTGTTATCGCCCCAGATATTTAATCCAGATGTTTTTCCAGCAATTGAGAGCACATTTTGAGGACTGTCAGGGGAGAGAGAAAGCCATTCTTCTCCATTTTCATTATCAGAATGACACTTCTGGATCCATCCTTTGGGATTAGTACAGTACAAGCACATCATGCAGTCATGCCAGAGCTAGATTTAGTTTATAAGTAAACCCAAATGTTTCATGGTTTTCCTAATCATTTATTGGTGTAAAGCTGATTTAATTTATTGGGTTCATTTTGTGTGGTATTTACCTGTGATGGTTGTCTGTATTTCCCCATCCCTCCTTCACCATCCTCCCAAAGCCACTGCTTTCAACTAGACAAAAGAAAAGAAAAATGGGGGGTTGGAGTTGTAAAAAAAAAAAACCTTCTTGTTAGCGGCTTTGTTAACTGAGATATGCCAGGAACTAGGATTTTATTCCAGTAAGTTTACCAGAAATTCTTTGAAGTTTGCCTGGTAACAGCGTGCTGTCTTGAGATAGTTTTAAACAGCTGGTTTTAAAGTAGATATAACTGATTTTAATGTTATGTATATTTATAGTTATTTTATGTCCTAGCATGGAATGCTTGCCATGTATATGTTGTGCTCCACCCTGAGTCCCCTTCAGGGTGAGAAGGGTGAAATATAAATGTTAATAATAATAATAATAATAACAACAACAACAACAACAACAAAAGTGGCAAATGTGGCCACTTATCTCTGTTTGCAGTTACCTTTTTCTTGCATTGTTTTCAGAAGATGCTGACTTCCTCTTGTGTTTCCTTATTTCATTGCATGATTTTCCTGCAGGAAATACTACGGAGAAAGAATTGGCATCTATTTTGCTTGGCTGGGTTTCTACACTGAAATGCTGTTCTTTGCAGCTGTTGTTGGTTCAATTTGTTTTCTGTATGGTGCCTTTACAATGAATGAAAATATGAGTAGGTAAGTGTAAATTGCAAACCATTTTATGACTAATGTTTGCTCTTTTGGATCTTATTTCATTTTTAAAACTAAATTTTAAAAATTTCCTGTAATGTTTCATAGCATTTGAAGTCACTGCCTGATTCTGTGAGCTTTTTGTAGAAATATTAGGTTAAACACATAAACTAGCTGCTTAATTGGTTATATCTTAAGCACCAAATTACCAATAATCTTTGTACAGAAGGAGATAGTTCCTCATATCATATTCCTGTATGAAGTAGCAGTGTACTTGTGAAAAAGCATAAATTATGTGAAATCATGCTTAATTACATGTAAGACATCCTTGTTTGTTCTCTTCAGCCGAGAAATTTGTGACTCCAATATTGGTGGAGAAATTATCATGTGTCCATTATGTGATATAAAATGTGACTACTGGAGGCTTAACTCCACATGTGAAACTTCAGAGGTCAGTATTAATTCCTGAAGCTTTTGGATTCTTTTTAAAAATGATAAATTCATTTATTCTGGTATCACTTTTTTTCAAACAATTATTTGTTTTTCTGTTTCAGTACTCCCATTTGTTTGACAATGTGGCAACCCTCTTTTTTGCCATTTTTATGGGTATCTGGGGTGAGTATATTTGTGTTTATGCTGAACCAAAGACCTTCCATTTGTGGAATAGAGATTCTGAATCCACTCCTTAACACAAAAACTATGTTCAGATGCTCGCAAAAAGATATCATGTAGCAAAGCCTCCATGTAATCAGAAACTCTGAAAAGACTCTATGTGTAAATAATACAAGTCTTGTTTATAGTCAGATCCCAGACAGATACATGTCTGTGCAACAATTCATTGGTTAGATTCAAAATAAATTTGTCAAATGGGGCCATTTTGTAATGATTGACATAGGTTCTATGGAGTTAACCAATGTTTCCAATAGAAATGTCAATTGTCACTTATTTAATTCTTATCTGAGAATGAATACTTTCAAGAATTTTCTGCTCATTGGATTAGATTCTAAGAGTTTGCCATTTTGAATGTTTTTACCATTTTTGAAGAAACATGTTTTCTATAAGAAACAGTGACTGGTACCTTGCTAGGCTGTTACAAGGTAAAAAGCTAGGCTTACAACCTCATAACTATTTGATATTCACATTTCTGTTTGTGATACAATTGTCATGCCTGCAAATGCCTCCTATACACCATTATATCTAGGCAGCCATAGCAAGAGATACTCACAAGTAGGTAACTAAATAATGAATTCCTCCCCATTCCTCCAGCAAGAGGGGTCTGGATAAGTCATTCTGTGGTGCCCACTTGCCATGGCTACCAACTCAATCCTGCAGTATAGCTGCCTGGATTTTTAATGGGTTTGTGAAGGCTGGATGAGGAGACAGGGCACTGGGATAACTTTGTAACTATGTGTCCAATGCAAGAGATCAGTCAGAGTTTTCTGGGATTTAGTTCAAAAAAGTTTTTGTCACCAAATGACATTTTTCACTAGAAAATTGAGAGGGGGGGGGAAGCTTAGCAAACAGACTTTTTTTCAATATCATTTTTCATTGAGGGCAAAAACAATTGTATTCTGTACATTCTGAGTCTCAATATTATTAGGCAAAGATGATTCCAACAGGCAAGCCTCAATGTTAAAAAATAAGCAAGCATGTCAGTGTGACCAAACTTTTTTCCAAGGTTCCAAAATTGCAGATACATTCTAGACTTTGATTCTGATTGAGGAATTGAATAATTACTTCTTCAAGGGAAATTCAGATCAGCTTTACTAAATAAATACCTAATTCATCCAAAAAGGTATATTTGACACTGTTTATGTTTTATAATTACCTATTGCATGTTGCACAATCTTGACAGTTCTTGTTTTCTTTCACACTTACAGTTACCCTTTTTTTGGAGTTTTGGAAGCGACGTCAAGCTCGACTTGAATATGAGTGGGATTTAGTTGATTTTGAGGAAGAACAGCAGCAATTACAATTAAGGCCAGAGTATGAAGCAAAATGTACCCAAAAGAGAAAGAATCCAGTGACTCAGGTAATTTGAGGCAGGGAGAGAATGCTTTCCAGAATACTGAAATACAAACATAGAGCTTAAAGAATACATAAGAATTGCTACACATTAGCAATGTTTTGACAGTTTGGTCATTCATTCAAATAGGACAGCTTTTCACTCTTTAGTATGGAATTGTACCAGAAAATTACAGAACTGTGTTGATTCACCTGTGTCATCAGAAGATACAGTTGTGCAAATGTTTGGAAATAAGGTACAACTCAACAAAATTTGAAAGTTTACTTGTTGGATAATAATATTCAGAATTCCTTCATCTACCATGTCTGTGATAGCCTTGGGATTCTGATCAAAAATAATAATTCTGCAATGCAGACATCAGTTCTTAGAATAAAGATAAGGGATTCAAATTATATCTGTAGTCGATATTGAAATTATTGCTTATTGTTCCAATGTTGAAAGGTAGGCATCCCAGTGAAAAGGCTTTATTTTCTTCAGCTTTATTAAATTGAGATAATTCTTGTGTTTCATGGTGTTGGTTGATAATTATATACTTTTTAATTGCATATGAATACAATTAATTCCTCAGGAAGGTAGCTTCTACCAACCTTTTTGCTGATATGCTAATTTTAAGTGTAAGGTCTTTTGGATACTTGGGGCATGGGTGTCATTTGTGTGGTTCTTTACCTTGCACGATAGAATAATAAGGCTGTCCTAGGGGACCTGGGGGGAAAGTATGTTTTTTAATCAATTGCCTTTGAGGACTTATCTATATATAAGCCACCAGTTCCTAGACTGCTAAATAAATGGAGAGAAATAGCAAAGCCAATGGCTGACATCTTGCTTCATTTCGCTAAACCTAAAAGTTCTCCAAACAAATATGCACTGTGAAGGCTTCTCTGATATGACTCCCACTCTCCTAGCTGTCATTTATGCTTGGAGAAGGGAGCTGATTTACCCTCACTGAGCAATTACTTCAAATGGAAATATGCAATCAGTCCTGTGGCTTCTCTGGGCACTTTCAGTTTGATCTGGAGCTACAAGGCAACACAATGGCCAAATTTGGATAAACCAAGGTATTTACACATATTTTATTTTGTGAGCACAACCTCATCTTTCCTTGTTTGATGGTGTATACAGAAATACAATTAGAAAGTCACCAATTAACTATGTATAGTATTTAGTTTGGATTACTAAGCCAAGATCTTCAACCATAGTTTGAAGCTGGTTTAAGATCCTGTGTTATTCTGAAGCTGGCAAGCATAGTTTCTTGTTCGAACAAAAGAGTTAATTGGACCCTTCTTGGTTTGACTCCATGCACTGTGAAATGAGCAAAGGTGGTGTGTATGTAACCAAAAACAATAAGAAATATCTTTGGTTTGCACAAGTTCAAAGTAGCACTGATAACAGGTGTTTGTTAATTAAATATTGTCAATTTCTTTACCTTTTTTCTAACTATGTGGTCTGATATTTTAGGAACTAGAATTGATTAAAAGGAAGAGTTTACATGAATATGGGAAGCTAAGTTTGTTGTACTTTGGAGTATTGTTTTGGGTAAGACAGGTCTACACAATCTCTGCAACTTTCAGCGGCAACTAACGAATGAGACATTTCTTCAAGTGGGAAAACAATTTTTAAAAACTCGCAAGCATGGAGGATAATGATGAATGATAAAATAACCATGTGTGTTTGGTGGATGAAGAGTGCTGAAAACTGAAAAGAAAACTGCATTCAGCTCCAGCATCTCCCTTCAGTTTGCAAAACTGGAAAGGAGGAAAATAAAATGCCTCTACCTTCTCAAAAGGATAGATGTTCTTGGTTTTTGCCTTTCCATCCATATATTGTTCATTGAACCCTCCATTCCTATCTTTCTCCCATAAGAGGAAATGTACCAAAATGCTCTCTTTCAGGGTTATCTTGGGGTGTGTTTGCTTTCTCACAGAGGTTGCTTTCTGCAGTGCTCAGTACAAGACGGGTGGTGATGTGTGCTATGCTTGCTTGACTTGTTTCAGGAGCTGGAGCCTTATTTGCCTCTAACTAGTCAGGCTCTGCGATTCTGCATCTCAGGAACGACAGTGTTGTTCTGGGTGAGCATCTTTTTGAATCTTCACTTGGACACACATAACAGTAACTGGTAACATTTTAAAGCTTGACTTTGCTTTGCACTTCTTTCTTGGTGTGCTGCTACAAGGACTACGGACATAAATTTTCCCCACTGTTTTCCTGCTGTCTTGCAAAGCACACATTCAATTATATAGCACAGTAGTTAATTCTTCATAAATTATAAAGTGGAGGCTAAATTTTCCAGAATATCTTCAGATGCCTGAAAACCTAATTATAAAATTTATTGTCATACTCACTGGACATTTAACTTAGGACCAACCTCCTTGATCTTTATGGTCTGGAAAAATTGGGTCATGGATTGCGTCAATTCAACACAGTCAATTCAACTTTCCAGTCTGCGGTTGTACCACATCCGTCTTCTATTTCAAGACAGGGAAAGGAGAGTGCCCATGTTTGGAAAGTGAGACAAAATACAATATTTTTAACCTACATAAGGAATGTCCAGCTCCATTAGCTGTAACAGTACTGGTTCGTCTTGAAATTCCTTTGGTGTCCTTTGCATGAATTTGCACGATGTACTTGTAGTCATTCTTAATATTTAGAATAAATCAAGAGTTACAACTCTTTTGGAACTATCACTTTAGATTGTAGATGGGGACTACCTGCTTTAACTAGTTAAGGTAAAGGTTTCTCCTGACATTAAGTCTAGTCATGTTCGACTCTGGGGGGTGGTACTCATCTCCATTTCTAAGACGAAGAGCCATCATTGTCCGTAGACACTTCCAAGGTCATGTGGCCAGCATAACTGCATGGACCGCCATTATCTTCAAGAAGTGGTAACTATTGATCTACTCATATTTGCATGTTTTCGAACTGCTAGGATGGCAGAAACTGAGCCTAACAGCGGAAACTCACACCGCTCCCCAGATTCAAACTGCCAGCCTTTCAGTCAGCAAGTTCAGCAGCTCAGTGGTTTAACTTGCTGTGCCACCAGTATCTTTAATTAGATATGAAATAAAAAGGGATGTTCCTTTAATTTAGAAAATTAAGACATCGAGGGAAAGAACCTAACTTGCCTTCTGATTGGCTTTCTAGTGTTCTATAGAAAGAAGGATATGTGCAATGGAAGAATATTCAAACATAAAGCCCATCCTCCTGTTTACAATCTGAAGTGATACATCACTGCATGGTCATGTTACGCTATTATAAGTGATACATAGTTAACTCTTTCAGTCTGGCATATTCTAAAAGAGTAAAAATTTTCTATGTTCTTGCCTCTCCTTGGTGTCTCATAGATCTCTTTAATCATAGCAAGTATGATTGCTGTGATAGTTTATCGCCTTGCTGTTTATGCTGCTTTTGCCAGTATCATGGAGAACACACAAACCCTGCAACCCATCCGAGGTTTACTGACGCCACAACTGGCCACTTCAGTCACTGCATCATGCCTGAATTTTGTCATCATTATGATTCTGAATTTCTTATATGAGAGGATAGCTATCTGGATCACTGATATGGGTAGGTATGTTGCAAGAAGTCTGAAATGACAGACCTATATGTGCACACACACACGACTCAGTTGCACTGGAAACAGAAGGCGTAAACACTCAGATGCAAATTGGAAGCTAGCATCCCTGGGACAAGATTTTGAAAGGTGTGGGGGGTGTATGGTTTTGGTCCTAAATTGTCCACAGCATCCATTATGGTTTAATAATCTTAAAGTAAGAACTTGGACATATATCATTGCAGCTGGGTTAAATCTGCTGATGCCATCTTACCAGTTCTGCAGTATCACAAAAGAAGTTGAGAAGACTCACCGATGATCCAATTCTCCTTTTCCAGTTATTATAGTATCCATAGTTTATCCTTTTTCATGAATTTCCTTCTCAGTTGACATGAGTCAACCATTTTTGTAGGCATTTGATACAGCTCTGTTACTTTTGTAAATTAAAAATGACATTCTACACTGTATTATAATGTACTAATCCCACAATTCTCAGACTGGGACTGTTACATCAACTTGTGTTAACTTTTAAGTGATATTTATTTCTTATACATATATTTAATCAGTAATGAGATTATAAATATATCATTATTATGTTCTGTCTCTTCATTTTTACAAGAATGACCTGCTGACCACCCCATTAGTGCTCTCTACTGGTAAGAATGTAATTCATGGTCCCACAGTGTTTTAGGAAACTGCTTTCTTTTCTAGGACTATCCCACATACTCATGTATTAGGTTTTTAAAAATCCCCCAAATCTGGGTCAACTTATTCATGAGTTAATATAAGTACTGTACTTTCATTCTTATGAGAAAGAAACCATCCTCTTCTCTGATTAGAGTGACAAAAGTCAAAAGCCTGTTCCACTTTACCCTCTCTGTCATGGCACCATTTTGAATGCCTTGGTGGGGAAATTGCAATGGTGACCAGGGACAGCTGGTCCCCTGAATCAACATTGGTGCTTCCCAAAATTAATATTTTTGTCCCCAAAACCTGCCCTCAACTTATACATGAAGTCAACTTATACATAAGTCTATATGATACTTGTTTTATAATGCTAAAGCTTGATTCTAATTTGTCATCCTGGGATGGTGGCTTGATGAACTTGCTTGCTGTTTGTGGTGTAAAATGTATGAAATCTGTTTATTTTTGGTCTTGCAGAAATCCCAAGGACTCACCTTGAATATGAGAACAGACTTACTATGAAGATGTTCTTGTTTCAGTTTGTCAACTACTACTCTTCATGTTTCTATGTGGCTTTCTTCAAAGGGAAGTTTGTGGGGTACCCTGGCTCTTACACATATATGTTTGATCGGTGGAGAAATGAAGAGGTATATAATAATTTTTCAACTGAACAGACCACCCAAAAGTTTCTCATTATAGTCCAAAAAGTTAACCTCGTGTTAACAACAAAAATTGTTTTAGTAACATTTTATCTATGATTCTGACCTTATAAAAAAAGGGGATATACATAGCTGAAGATATCTTTAGAAATATATTTCTGACTATCTGCAGACAAGGTTGCCTTGGCTGCATGTCTCAAAGCTTTAAGAGAGAACAGCAAACAACAGTATTCTGTTGTTTTCAGGATACCAGTAGGGTAATCTTCAGTTGCAGCACTGAAGTGTTTGACTTACTTTTTTTTCCAAAATTGTATATTTTAATTCATTACCAGGTTCTAAGCCATTGGTCAAGCTATCCTAGTAACAGGCAAAATGGTCTCTGTAAACATAGGAAACTAGGAAACATAATGGGCAAAGAAGAGACTCATACATGGGCAGTAAAGAGAGATGTCAAATTATCTCTTCATTTAAATTCCTCAGCCAAATGTTGGATAATCAACTTCTAATACAATATTTCATCATATGATAGTCACCTGCCTGCCTTTTGGGAGGCACCATAACTGAAAGGGGGCAGGTGCATGGGCAGTGTACCTGAAAGGTGGGTGCACGACTGAATGAAACATCATACCTGAAGGCAGGCATGTGGGTAAAGTTTTTGTTTTTTTAATGCAGCAAGACATGGAGATGGAAGCCTAGCTAGATGGTTTACAGTGAAGAAGCTGTCTTGCTTTTATATTTGCCCCAGTCTTTTCCCACCGCGTAATAATCACATGCTCCCTTTTTTATATATATATATAAAAAGGATAAAATGTGTAAGTATTATACAATGGAATGCATGCAATGAAATACAGTATTTGAAACAGGCACATTTTCCTATTTCTGACTCTTCCTGTCATCATCAGTACAGCCAGAAAGTCTTCCATGGCATTTTGTGGTTACGAAGTTGGAGTAGGTACTGTAACAGTTGGGCATCAAGCATGAGGATACTCTCAAAGCAGTTCCAGAGCCTAATGTATGTTTTATTATTGAATTGCTCCTTAGCCTGTTTTAGGAAGGAATGTCTTAAGAGAGAAGAAACTTCTCAAAATATACAATGAGTAAGGAAAATGAGAAAAAATAATTACACATACTTAGACTCTGGAATTGCCTCATAGCTGAGCTTTCTCCCCACAAAAAATACCACTTTCAAAATAACACTGTGCTTCCAACTTACAGAACAGTTACATGTTTGGTTGCTTTTCTTTCATTTAGTGTGATCCTGCAGGATGCTTGATAGAACTAACAACACAGCTTACCATTATCATGGCTGGCAAACAAATTTGGGGTAACATCCAAGAAGCCTTTGTACCGTAAGTTATGCACTAATACTGACTCCATTGCCTTTTTAAAATACAGCAAAAATAATATTCCATGAGCAGTTCCATTGTATTCAGAAAGTTTAGGGTAAGCATAAACATTCCAAGCTTATTTACCACACATATATCCTATGTTATCAACCTACCTGCAACCTCTCCTCCCCGGTCCTCCTTCAGTGGAGAGTTGGGTCTGGCAGGGCATGGGGGGGGGGGGGAAGTAGCAGGTCTGGGCCAATTGATATAGCCCTGTTCTCCTACTGCATGTGATTGCAATTGTGTGATTTGGAATCCTGAAATAGATCTATGGTGATCCTGGAATCCTGGGCTTCTCCAGCTGTGTTGTAGTCTCATAGGCTCTAATTTATGGGAGAAATGCTTTGAAAACAAAATTCTGTCCTCTAGTTTTGGATCCCTAGCAGAATTTCTCCTCACCTGTGGGTTCTGTTTTCCCAAACCACAGGTGGATATGGAATTGGTGGGGTAGTCGGAAAGCCAGGAGCAATCCAGAGAATTTGTATGGTCGATGGGAGCAGGACCATGATCTACAGAACTTTGGAGCTTTAGGTCTATTCTATGAGTATTTGGAAATGGGTAAGCACAAATCTTGCCTATGAAATGGAAAGCACGGTTGTTAAGAGTTTTTGCTAACATGGGGCTTATCAGCTCTTATCTTTTGGCCCAGTATTCCTGTTGAATTACAAACCCAAAAGTGAAAAATGTAGATGCACTTTAACATGGAAGTGTGACAATTAACCTTTTGGGGGTAGGACCTGCCAGTCTTAAGTTGTTCAAAGCACCATTCTTGTAAATGGTTCTATATGCACTGTAGTTTCATGGTAATATATGCCATGAATCCTTGAGAAAAAGTTGACTTCTTGGGCACAAAACACAGCGCAGCTACATCATAATATTACATTCCATTGGACATTCCTCCCTTACCCACATTTTTATGTGCAGTTAGCACTATTTTCTTACAGTCTTAGAACAGAAATATTCAGCCAGCTTTCAAGTCAAATAGATTTAATGTGTGATAAAAAAAACCCCATTTTATTTCCACACTGAGCCTTAACTGACATAAGTCATCTAGTGTTGCAATGTGAGAAGTAGAAGATATTAGAAAATGTGAATCCAGTGGTTTTATTGCAGTTTCTCAAAGCAGCCAACAGATGGCACATGTCAACTACAAAGAATTTTGCTTCTGAAATAATGCTGGCATGGCTGTTGCATTGCACTCAGAAACAATAACTAACACCAGTTCAAACAAGGGCATTATACATGTTTTGCCTGCAATCATGATGTATATAAGTACATGATTGCTGGGTTGCATTTAAATATATGCTATTTAAACTATGCTGATGAATCAAACCACCGGGATGATAGGTCAAAACACACCTGCAGGACTTTCATTAGAGATGAGAACTAAGAGGTAGAGCTAAAGGCCTGTGAATCAGCAAGTTTCTTTTTTCAGAGAACAGATTTGTATGTTATGTGGAAATTCATCTTACAAGTTCAGTCTGTGTTCACATTATAAATAAATAACTACAACTATTATCCCAGAAATATATTTCCTTTTTCCCCAGAATATTTGCATTGTTTTCATTTCTGGCATATGCTTATTTCTCCAGTTGGTGAATTGTTTGTTTCAGTAGGCATGATTTTGGGAGTATCATTCAAATATTTACCTTCTGTTTTTTTCCCCCAACAGTCATTCAGTTTGGATTTATTACGCTGTTTGTAGCCTCCTTTCCCTTGGCCCCACTCCTTGCTCTGATGAACAATATCTTGGAGATTCGAGTTGATTCTTGGAAGCTAACAACTCAATTTAGAAGGCCGGTGGCAGCCAAAGCACACAGCATAGGAATTTGGCAAGAAATTCTCAATGGGATGGCAATCTTATCTGTCGTCACAAATGTAAGGGGTTTTTTTGTTTTGTTTTAAAATACTTAAAAGGGAAACCTTTATACTTTTATCATCATCATCATCACCTCCACACTACTGCCATATTAAATATTTCCTGAGGGGATAGTGCTAATGTAGCTCTGAGATGCTCTTAATCCATTGATACTTTCCAAGAAAATCACATTTCTGTAATATAAATAGTAATAGATGTGTAATATACTTGATTTTGCTTTTAATCCAGAGGCATCCGTTTAGCATAGTAATCTGAGGAACTACACATGAGACTTTCCCATTTAAGGGAAATAATTTTCTCCTTACTTTCCTTTCTTGACTGGCTGGATGCCTATATTGGGTTTAATAACAAGCTATATCTAGGCTTTCCTGACAAGTATGTTCCCTGTGTTCCTTATCATTATCATCAGTTGTTCTGGTAAACCTTTAAGAAAATTTTCTGACCACCCAAAGAATACCAAAACCAGATGCAGAAGATTAGGTTGACTAAGAGACATTTTATTTAATCTAAGACCTATTTAACTTGTATTGAATCTGGAAAGGAGCGAAAGGGGAACCAACTTAGTGCTGCATCATCTGGGTATATGTTGCCCTTTGCCACCTTCTTCAGGGTGAAACACTTGAGCTCCAAGAGCAGCACAATAGCTGTGTTGCTCCTCATCTGGACATCTGCTGGAAGGCAGGCCCAAAGAATCCCATCCCCAAAGTCCAGATACAAATAAAGTGACATACTGCATTGGAGATGGGAGTGAGGATTCAGTTTTCTGCCCAAAAGAGGATACAGAAAGAGCAGAAACCTCTTTTAAAAATTCCTGATTCACCCACCCACACATCAAGGTACTTTACTGTCTGGCAAGAACACAATCTGGGCTCTTTCCAAAGACACCTCCTCTCTCACAGTGCTTTGCCCTAGTGAGAACAGAGTTGTAGAATTGCCACTGGCTGGGGGATGTGATGAATTAAAGTCCAAAGCAGTGACTTTTCCAAGCCATGGTTCTGAGATGTTATTATTACTTGTATGTCTGCTTTGAATGTGATGCAGTAGAAGGAGTGGTCACCCTGCAAACTACTTGTTTGTGGATTTGTTCAACAGAACATGAATGCTCTTTATCATGTGTTTATGCTCTGTTGCATCATTTTGATATAATAATATCCTTCTAGTAAGAATTTCCTTCTAGTGGACAAATATACTTTGTAAAGTTACTTGCGTGTAAAATGTAGCATGTCCAGTTTGAAAACAAATTACTTTTTGTTATCTAAAGCATAATGGAATATTTCATTCAATGGGGGAAAGAAAGACCTTATGTAACATATAGCACAATTTCTTTCCTATAGGCATTCATTGTAGCCTTCACATCTGATATGATTCCTCGACTGGTATACTATTATGCCTATTCTACGGAATCCGATTCACCCATGAGTGGCTATATCAATGACAGCCTCTCTGTATTTAGAATATCAGATTTTCTTGAGAAAAACAGACCTGAAGCAAATCCAGGCAACTTTTCCACTTGCAGGTAAATACGGATTAGCCTCTTCTGTATTTTGCATGTATGTTGCTAGAATAAATTAATTCACAATTGTAGTAGTCTTAGATGTGAAATTCACACCTTAACCTAAATTCTGTTTGTTTTTAGAAGATGAAAAGGAGGCCTCTTTAACTGACAGAATAAGAATTCGGGGTTTTGTTTGTTTGCAGGAAATGTTGGGAACATATATTGTCCCCTTGTGAGCAAACTTTAATATGACAGCAGAAAAACAAAAGCAGGCAAAGTTATAGAAGTCTAGACATTCTAGCCTTTCAATGACTTCTTACATAAATTTAGAATTAGGCATCCTAGAAACAGATGAAATGCTGATCTCGGGGTTGCTATTGAAAACTGCAACATCATGCTTACCACCACCACTGCCTCCCTCCTCCACATATTCACACTTTCATATAGGCTAAATGACATGTGTGTCATAGCATCATCAGTACATAGAGTCATATAATCTGAGAGTTGGAAAAAACCACAAGGGTCATTTGGTCCAACCCACTTCCATGCAGGAATACACAGCCAAAGCAGTCCAGGAAGATGCCTATCCAATTTCTGTTTGAAGATCTCCAAAGTCCAAAACTTTCTTAGACAGTCCATTCCATTGTTGAACAGTTCTTACAGTAAATAATGTATTGTGTCTAGAGCGATGTCAGCTTTTTACTATATAACATAAAAGGTGATCTTACTCCTTTGTTACATATTATTTGGTGCCATTTCACACTATGATGTTGTGGTTGCATTATATGGAATGCTGGGGTTGATGAGACACTTGAGTTCTCTGAAAGGGAAGTGTAAATGTCCATCACTAAAGTACTAATGACAGCATTCCATAGGCTGTTGCTATGACAGATCATGAAAAATCATATCACTATAATATTATAGTGTAGAAAAAACCCTGGAATAAAAGAAGGAACTAACATCGATTTGCATTTTTCAGTGAAACCCTGTACAATCAACTCTATCTAGCCTGAGTGCAAATATACACAACTACTTTTTTGTACTATATGATTAATTTTTATAATAACTTTGCAAGAAAGTTACATATGACCTGACTGTAAGAGCTGTTCAACAGTGGAACTTGTTGTCTCAGTGTAATAGCAGCTCTTTGGAGACTTTTAAACAGAGGCTGGATGACTGTGTATCGGAGGTGGTTTAATTGTGCTTTTGGGGTTTGGACTGGATGGCCCATGTGGTCTCTTCCAGTGCTATGATTCTATTATTCTATGTAGTCTGTTTTTGTTCTCTCCATTCCTTTTGCTCAAATATATGCCTGCTAGCCCTATGGTAGTGGTGTGGGGATACCAGAGTGCAAGATATCACATGGGTTTAAAGTCCAGGATCCGCTCATAATTATGTGCAATATTTCAGCATTTTTTGTTGGTGGGAAAATCATTATAGGAAACCCCCCCCCCCTTAAAGTATATGATTTGTTTACATGGAATCCCAAGCTTTCCATTTCCACCATTTAAGCCTTGGTAGTTTGTTCAGAATAGATGTTTTATTTCCCACTTTGTGTTATGATTCTGTTCACTGACTTATTCTGCCCCTAGTCTGCTCTGATATATAAATACTGTCCAAACATCACCTTATGACAGCCATACACTCTGTGTACATAGCTCTGCTAGCACATTTTCGCAATCTGTGTTTGCTAAGAATGAACAAATGGGAGACATGAGCCAGTTACAAGAGCCTTGTCCTTAGAGGAAATAAATAAAGAAAAACATTAAGATCAGAATAGAAAGTCTTCTTAAATGACAGCTGTACTTGATTGTAAGTGCCACAGAGCTTGTCATCTGTCTGTGTTTGAATGTGACCCTTCACCTTGACATGTTTGTATTCAACAGGTATAGGGACTATCGGTATCCACCAGACCATGAGAAACAGTACTCACACACCATGCAGTTCTGGCACATTCTGGCTGCCAAAATGGCTTTTATCATTATTATGGAGGTAAGTCTTCTTCTCTCTCCTGACATCATTAACATTTAACATTAGTTAAAATAGAAAGTTACTATAGCTTTAATGAAGGCAAGTGGCCCTCTTGATATTATAAAATACTTTTTAGTATATAAAGGAGGTAATTTTTAAAAAGTACAGATAAATTAGTAAAAACTAAGGCAAACTGTCGCTATTTTATGTACTGTGATTTCCCCCTCCTCACCTTAGTGCAGTGGGAGGGAGGAGGTCAACCCCTCCACCTGCCTCCTTTCACATTGTAAATCTTCTGGTCACTTTGTGGCTGGGTAGGAATCTCCCCCCCCCCCCTCCATTAAGGATTTTGTTCACCTTCCCTACACTGTGATGGACAACTTGACAATTGGCATAGGATGATTTCATAAATAGGACTTCCTGGCATGTGTTGGAGAGGGGGAGGGAGGGAGAGAAGAGATGAATTAGTGAGGACTTTCTGGCATCAGTTTGGTGAAGTATGGGAATTTGCCCCTGTATATCAAGTGACCTAGAGAGTGAGGAAAATGTATTATCCTTGGCACAGGTCCCTCCAGGGGCCACAGCTTCTGGCAAGCCTTCCAGTTTATGAGCTGGAGTTACAGGGATTCCTTTCAGGGGCTTTGAAATTTCCACCCCATGGAGGCTGGGGGAGGGTGTGTGTATATTTTATGTATATGTTTCTTTAATAAATTCATTCACAATAGAAGTTGTCTTAAACTTGAAGTTCATACCTTAACCTACAGTCTGCTTCTTCTCGTAGTCTCACACCAGGATGCTCCTCCCTTTAGTTTTGTTAATCACAAAAAAGTTAAATATGCAACAAAATTGACCACATTTCATTCTATAGCTTGTGTCTGGTCTCATTATTCCTATTGTGGGACAGCAATTTCAAGTAGTTTCTAATCTGTCGTCTTTTTAAAGAAATGTGTGTATTGTCTATTTAAGAAATGTCTATGATCTTCTTTCAATCTCTGCATTTTTACTTTTTCTTCCAGATTTCATTATTGTTTTATGCCCAAAATAGATGTGACATTGACTCTGAGACACAGTCAAAAGATTTTGTTATGTAAATAGCAGCCAAAGGAAAAGTTTAGAAGCTTTTGAACTAGGGAAACTGAAAAGAAGAAGAACTTTATTTTACTACCCCGTCTCCATCTCCCCGAAGGGACTCGGGGTGGCTTACATGGGGCCCAAGCCCAGGCAGAATATAATTAAAATAAAGCAATAACAATTAAAACAGCATAAAAACAACATGACAAAAATAGCTAGCAACAACAATAACAGCAGACTAATTTTGGAGGGGGGGGGGAACCACTACATGAACTAGTTAAAGGATAAAGTGGTTTAGTAAGGTAGATGACAATGTATAACGGCACAGGAAAAATCATGAAAACAGAGCAAATTAACAGGATCAGTTAATATAATATAGGATATCAGAGTGAATGACAATTCAAGTCATGATACAGGCCATTTGTCATAGAAGTCATCAATCGAAAGCACGACGAAACATCCACGTCTTTTATTCCTTACGGAATGTGGCTAGGGAGGGTGCCAGCTTAATCTCCCTGGGGAGGGAGTTCCAGAGACAGGGGCCACCACCGAGAATGCCCTCTCTCTCATCTCCACCAACCGTGCCTGAGACGGGGATATTTACGTTTTTCTTCCTCTGCCATGATTTCAAGAAAAAAATCCTGTTAGCAATTTAATAAAAGTGTCCATTGCTCCCATTGTGTGGATTTTATCTGGATGATGCCAGAGAATCATAGAATCATAGAGTTTGAAGAGACCACAAGGGCCATGCTGCTCACCCCCTGCCATGCAGGAACACACAATCAAAGCACCCCCAACAGATAATCATTCAGCCTCTGTTTAAAACCTCCAGAGAAGGAGACTCAACCCCCCTCTGATGCAGCATATTCCACTGTTAAAAAGCTTTTACGACTAAGAAGTTTTTCCTGATGTTTCAGTGGAAGTGTTAACTTTTTCTTTCCATACCTTTTGATATCTTTTGTTGATATACCAAAATATGCATGGTAACTGCATTAACACAATTAACTTCACATCTATTTAGCCTTCAACAATGAACATTAAAGGGCAGTCTTAAGGCATATTTTTTATACATTAGAGTTATTTACTTTCAATGTTTGTTTGTGTTGTTCTTCCAGCATGTTGTCTTCGTTGTCAAGTTCTTTGTGGCTTGGATGATACCTGATGTCCCAGCTGAAGTGAAAGCCAAAATAAAGCGGGAGAAGTACTTAACACAAAAAATATTACATGAATATGAACTCAATAAACTTAAGCAGAAGCTATGTGAAGGAAGGACTGATGCAAGCATGGAAAAGGTGGTCCTGGCCACTGAAGGGAAGGTTGAATTATCAGAAGTCATGTAGCCTTTGGAAAGGCTGAGTGCCTGGAATTCCAGCCTCTGAAATTTCAATGGTTCAGGATCTGTGATGGGCAAGCTGCTGTCATGAAATCTGTTCAGTCTTTTTAATCAGTTTCTTTCTGGACCTAAAGTTATTCCTAAAGCAGTTGGAAAGAGACAGCATGGTGGGATGGATTGAAGTTGGTCCACCAACCATTTTCAGTTCTGTACCTTTGCTGTTGTGTAATCTTGAAAAACAAGCTTGTGGTTGTGGAGTTGCAACGTCTCTTTTCGCTGCCTTGCCTTTCTAAGATTATTTAGGGTTTTTTGGAACCAAGAATGTCTTAAAGAATACCTCTCAGAGTAACTATATTTTCAATGGTGGCTTGAAGTCATGTTATGCAAATGTGAGAAGATGCTTCCCAGTGAGGTCAGGGTGTTGCCAGAAGAAAATAAACTATGGTCTTGTTTTTATATGCATGCATGAGTGTATATGAGTGTATAATGCCAAGGGTCTGAAGTATAGCCCTTCACTTGTTGCAAAAGAATATTTGTACCCTTTTATCATTCTCTTCTTTGGATTTTAAAGGGTGCAACAGACTCTTGTGGCTTTGTCTCATTAATGTTTGTCTGTCACCAAATGTGGAGACATTGGGAACTGAAGTATTAATCTACCCCTCTTAGTTTACCTGGGGAAGGCAAAAGGGGCTTAGAACCCCACATGCAGGACTGTTTGAGAAGCTTGTGCTGAATGGTACTATTCATACACAAACTGTGCCTAATTTTATAAAAGCAGAGACATTGCTCAGTATTAAATAAGAATTAGCCTGCAATTCCCTGCTTGCTCATGGTGACTGTTCAACAGCTTGTAGTTTTCTAGCTGTGGCTTTCATAATAGATTTGAGCATTTGATACTTGGAAAATCCTAAACATATCACAATTGTGCACTTCTGCTGCACAAATCTGCACCTTCAAATGCCTTATGACAGACTTTGTAAGTTTTTTAATGCTCAGATAACTTAAGTGTAACGTAATCATACAGTAGATCCAGTGTGCTGCGCTGGTTTGTGTGTTGGACTGAGACTCTGGAGACCAGGGTTTGAATCCCCACTCAGCCATGGAAAACTCCTGAGTGGCTTTGAGAAAATCTCATTCTCTTAGCTTCAATGGTAGGCAAAGGCAAACTCCTGAGGAAACCTTGCCAAGAAAACCCTGTGATAAAGTTTCCATAGGTCAGAAATCACTTGAATGCACACAAGAAAAGCAGAGCAGAAAGATTAAATAGAATTACTTCACAGAGTTAGCCAACTTGTTGCCTTCCAGATGCTGCCAGACCACAACTTCTATCAGTCCTAATTATCATAGACAATAGTGAGCAATGCTGAGAGTTTCATCACATTTGAAGGCACACAATTTGTCCAATCCTAATCTAAACCTAACAGAAATTAAAGTGTAGAAATTGTGGTTTTTTCATAATTTAGTTTTATTTCAAATAAATCCTTCAGTTAGCTTTTCTCAACCCTAAATATTATATGAAGACAGTTTATGTAAATAATATGTTTCACTGTTATATGAATGCAATGCTATTTTACTTTGCCATTCACCCTTTTAAAAAGGAAACAACAACACTTCAGTGACCAGTATGTGGTGGATAGCTTCAAGGTAGGCAAGATCATTCATTAAATAAATAAACAACAGGAATCATGTTATTTATTCCCAGCTAAAGCAGACCCATCCATTCTCTTGTTGAATGATGAGTCAACACATAGATAAACAAAATTAGCCTTCTAAATGGGTAGGATATTATATAAAGACAGGAACCACTGAAGGATCTTGGATTTGGATATTTACTTTTATTAGCCTCCTGATTTTATTGTAATGGTTTCATATGTTCAGAATCCTGAAAGAAAGCATCCACAGGGCTATAAAATGTTAACAAAGCCATTTGTTATTAACCCGCCTTAGTAGAAGACCTATTTATGTTTGTAGAGAACGTGTATTCTTTTTATTTTATTACTGAAAGGTTGTCTACCTTGATATAGACAGACATCTAATTCTAAGGAATGTTGTTGGGTTTTTTAAAAAAAGAAATAATCATTGAGAACAGTCTTGAGGCTATTTTGCAGTCATATACACATTCTTCTCTTCATAGGATGTGCCAGAAACCTTTTACAAGCAGTATCTTTGTTTTGTTATATAGTTTCAATTATCCACAAGTGTTTTTTGAGTGTTTGCTACATTTCTAAAAGCTAATTCTATACAACACTGCTTAGTGCCTTGTTTTCTTGGCACTCGAGGTAAAGGTTATGTGGAAAATGCTCAGTGTCTAACTTATATAGCATATTGTATTTTACCAGTGAATTCACATCTATCAAAAAGTATCAGCTTTCTCAATCATGTGCAGAGTAGCTAGTCACAATAAGGGCAGTTTTTGCAGACTTCCTAGCTTGAGGAGTTCTATGTACACCAGGAGAATGCAACCTGAGAGATATCGGGTGTTTCCTGGATTCCATTTCTAGAATAAGAAAACATTTTGAATGTCATTATCATAACATGTTTTTGAAATATTTGCACTTTGAAAGTTATGCTTGACTGTTAAGCATTGAAACAAATATCCTAGCCTGTGTTTTGCATGTGAACTGGCAAATATGCTCTTTCATATATTTGTATGCATTGTGGGTTAATTCTGGTACAGCAACTACCCAATTAGAAAAACTTTTGGAAAATATTTCAAAGACTTTGGCTCACTGGTATACATGCAAATCCTAAATCCATGAGCAAAATGCTCTGATTTCATCCAGAACTAAAACATGCTTATTATAGTAACAAAAATTATATAGATCATACACTGCTCCAATTGAAGGGTCTAGAGAGTAATATATGCTAAGGATGCTGGCCAAATATGGTAATTTGTTTTGCTAAGTGAACCTCATGTAATATTTGGGGTAAACGTATTAGCTTAGTATCAGACAAAAGGTTCTATTTTAAGAAAACTGGTGCCAGTTTAGATATGCAGTGTTCAATATACCAGAATAAGGGCATCTTTGAAAGCTTCTGTAATTTCTACTTTGCACTACTGGATAGGATAGCCAGCTGCGTAATGCCTTCTATGTCAAGTGTTTTTGTATTATTTCCCTTTTAGCATCCATTGTCCCTTTTGATTGTGTATAAGTATAAAGATTCATAGAAAAATAACATTATGGAGTTAGGCATGGAATCAGAGAAGCAGTGTTAGTACTTTGCTCTGGACAGCACTGAGAATGATGTATGATTTTTTTTCAGATTCTCACATTCAGAGTTAACACCCTTTTTTCATCTTAAAGTGGCTTGAATTTTTTTATCCTTTCTCATTTTTAAAACACCATCATGTTATTGTTGAAATGCATGCATATCATATACTGTGTATTTAGTATGCCAAAGATACATTGCAATCACCAAAATCTACATATATAGCCAAAAAAGCCTTCTTGGAATTGAATATCAAACATTTTGCTGCTTCTTTTCAAATGTTCTTACAAATCTAAATAGAGAATGTGAAGTATTTTTACTCTTGTTGTATTTGTATTATTGTTAAAAGACTTTGTAACAAACCAGTGTTTGCAAAACTGAACAGCATGAAGTTCCATCTACAGGTTAACATTCCCATTCAAATACATATAATAATTCTTGATACAAAAATGCCAAGTGTACCAAATTAAGTGATACTGTTCATAAACAAGCAGGAATCTTGTTATTTATTCCTAGCTAAAGTAGACTCATCCATTCTCTTTTTGAATGATGAGTGAACACATAAACAAAATTAATTTAGAAGCTCCATTCTTGGGACTAATAATAGGTTTTAAGCCATATATAGATTGATTGGTTGTTTCTTAATGTATCACACTAAGCATGTTCAGTTTAAAAATAGAGTGACACAGATGGAAGGAACTGACATAGGCAAAAATGAAATAATATGTGACTATATTGTTGTCTCCAGAAGTCCATACAAAATGAATTCCACAGACAGCAGTTGCTGCTATTCAGACTTTGGGGCAGTTATTTTTTAGACCACATCATTTCCCAGAATATCCCATCCAGAGTTGTAGGGGGGGGGGGGGAAAACTTTTCCATGTTCGGTTTTTACAACCTCTATCCATATTCTTTGTAGCCAAAGGAAGAAAGGAAGTGGAGTGTAAAAGATGTGGTATGTTTACTTGCACAATTCACACCCTGTTGCTTGTGGATAACTGGGTCAAACATTGAGTGTATACAGGGAACATCAGTTTCTGAGGCAGAAGCCAGCCTGCATCATCAGCCATTTGTTGGGCTTATAATCAAGCCTGTTTTACACTGCCAGGCAGGTAGTAATAGCAAACGCTCCAGGGACAGTGTGAACCCAGTAGCCAAGCATTGTTTGGTGGATCAGCAGTTCAATAGCACTTTCTTACTGGATCTTAATTTTAGTGGCACTACCATTTGTACAACCACACAACACTGGCATTGTTTCAATCAGTTTTGCATCAAAAGCAAGCTGAGGACTAATCTAAATGCCAGAATTTTTGCTTCCTAGCAACCTAGTAAATAACCCTGCCCAGGCAGTCCCCAAGTTATGAACAAAGATAGGTTCTGTAGGTTTGTTCTTAAGTTGAATTTGTATGCAAGTCTGAACAGATACATTTTTCAAGTGTAACTCCAGCCAAAAAAATTTTTGGATAGCATAAGGAAGGGTTAACAGAACTGTTGTGTTCATTTCACTATCTGTGCCCTTGTTCAGAAGATTTCACCTCACTTTCTGTCCCTGTGATAATTGAATTGTGAAAAATTAGGCTTATGGAAACACAGATTGGTGATAAAGCTTCAGTTGAGACACCATTTCCCCATGAGAACTCGTTCCCTTCCTAGGGGTAGATTTCTATAACTTTCTGTTGTCTCACTCCTGTACTTAACTATGAAGTCACTCTTAGTAATGTTGTGTTGTTTTACTTTCAGTTAATTAGTTTTGATGGCACATACACTTCTATACACACTAGTTTGTTGCTGAGCTGTACAGTTTCAGAGACGCAGTCCATCTCACTCTTACTCTCTGTATATTTATATTGTCCTCTACATCTGTACATCCATTTAGTCCGTTGAGTTTTCTGTATCTCTTTCAGCCTACTTGACACTCCTTATGTGAATACTAGCTATCTGTTGTCATTTCAATAGGCTGAACAATGTTGGGTTTTTCAGAACCTACCCATATTCCTTTGAACTTAAAGGAAACACACCTCCTTTTGCAAATAGATCTTGTGGAACATTCATATCTCCTGCGTAAAATATATTTACTTCTTCATCTCACAGTCAATTCCAGGGATGAGTAGGATACATTGACAAGTAGAAATGTTAGGTTTTTTAAAAAAATGAAAGTAGTGATTGACAAACGTATTTCCAAACTGGCTTGGGCTTCCAAATGTTAACACTTCCTTCCAGTGAGTTTAAAATGGTGTGCATGTCATCCCTGAACAAGCTACTCCGAAACTGCGTCTACTGAATTCAGCAATTTTTGCTCTTCATAGAATATAACATTTCAGCCAGTACTGACACTTTGTAACACAATGGCTGGAATTTTGTTAGTCCCAACTA